GGCAAACAAACTACATTTTTAATTGAAAGAAGCAAGAAGAGCCCCAGGATTATTTCTTCATATCGACATATCTCGGCGTTCAAGAACACAGGACGAGATTTCTCTGTGGAAAAGATGGCGAATGACCATCTGTCTTTTGCGTCTCCTTTTAGAAGATTAAGGGGAGATAATGAGGTGATTAGAGATCAGTTAATTAGTTAGTAGTTAAAGTAAGTGACCACATGCTGGGAAGAATGATAATTAGTGAAGAAAAGAGATAGATTTCTTGATGATGTGATGATTTTCTCTGAATAAATTTTAGATAATCTATCAACACTTCACGACTCTGTTATCAAAGAAAAGAGCGAAAATAATATAGTTTTTTTTCTGTTAAGAGCTTTTCACTTTAGACGCCGACATTGCTGCAATATTGTGGGCGTATTTGAACGTTGCCATTGTCTGAAAGACCGTCCCATGCGAAGGATAGCTTGTATTCAGAATAAATTTTGAATTATCTGCCAGCACTAAATTAAAAAAAATAAAGACGGCAACGTTGGATGATTCAGATGAGTGTGCACTATACACGAATTTGATGTAAACTTTGGCTTATTTGAACTGGATTTTGCTCTTTGACGACTATAAAGCCCAAGATCAAAGTTAAACTTTAGTTACAATAAAATAAATCTTAGTGTATATCTGAATGTATTTGCAGGAATTTCTCCCCTGATCATTAAGAATTGTGATGATTCTGTGTTATCTCTAGTATTTCAAACGATTGAAACATATTCTGTTTTGAATCTGAAATAGTGCTGAGATCAAGGTGTCAATTATTAACAAATATACAGATGGAATGATAACAATTCTTGAATTTTCATCGATTCACAATTTCCAAAAGTTTGCTGATCAAAATAGCTAATGATCCCTGGTCTTGTGATTATGCTTAATTATCAAGCTAAATAAAAAGGCGTTAAATTAACATCTTGCCTGAGTGACAAGGGCAAGAAGAAGGGGCAAAGATTACTGACCCTTCTCATGCAGGCATCAAAACAAACCAATTGAGCGCGTCATTACCGTCTGCAAGAAGACTCTTTAGTATTGGAGTACAATAAATCACGGTCCTGAAATTAGACTGACCTTTTACGTTTGGTTCAACTCTTATTTCGGAATTAGGCCTACATTCTCCTGATTTTGGTGGAAAGGCTTGACCAGTTGGCCTACCAAATCCACAAAAATCCACAGCCTCTTTAAAAGATACTTGGACTAATAATTATTTGAATAAGTTGAAGTACATACTGGACACCTCACTTGCAAAACATTTTTTAATTGATGAAATGTTCTTAGTGAAATGTCAGAAAATGACCACTGGTGAAATGACAAATAGGGATGATAAAACTGGATAATTGAACATCATACTGAAGGGTTAAATTTTGAGCCATTTATACGCCAAAACTGTACCACAATTAAAATGGCGGCAGCTCTTTAAAGGTACACAACGGTTTTCAGTTGTAGAGGGTTCGCAACATTGGTGACCTTTATGAGGAATAGTGTTGTGAAAACAAGACCCGAAGAACCTCTGTCGCAAAGAATATTACTGACTGATAGCTTGGTATAGCATTGTAGAAATCAGTGACAGAAAGCGGAACAAAAGTTGACATTCAGATCTTCGATTTGTTGAAGCTGGTTAATTTAAGTTGACCGTTGGAATGGATAAGAGCTTCATAGACGTGGCTTGGGTTGACAGATTTTTATTATAAGCGCCAATCTTAAATTTGGTCGTCGTATTATCTTTACTGTTCAATAAGCTTTAATCAAGCAACCACCAAATTGATGTTTACATTAGCTACGGGCTGTCAATTCCGTTTTCTGGAAAATCTAACGTACCATTACTAGAAGTCAATATACGGCTTAGACACTCTCAACTAAGCAAAGTTGCAAGATCCTTTTTCAGTGGATTTAACATAATGATTTATAATCTAGACTCTTAAGTAAGGAATTCGCCCGAATAACTAACCTACATGTCGAAAACTAAAAAAAATCGTTTTAGAGCCCAAAATTTAAGCGTTGTAGTGTTGGGCCCTATGTCAATCAAGGCTATTGTTTAAAGTAAAACTTCAATCGCAAATACATTTGATTTGATGGACAGTTGTTTTATGGTGGTGAATGCCACTTGTGCAACTTTGTTGCGGGGAACATGCAGAATAAAATACCTAATTAAGATACTGTAACATAAATGTTTTGTTTCAAGGGAAGTTACTCTTACAAGAATCTTTAATCATTATACACAAAATAATATGTATATTTCATATAATAATATGTATATCTTTCGTATAAGAATATCTATATATAAAAATAATATCTATATATGAAATTAAATGAAACGAATGAAGTTTTACGTAATATCTATATATGTCATAAAATGATAAGTATATATTTCATATAAGAGTATGTATCTATATAATATAATAATATGTATCTATATAAAATAATAATAAGTATATATTTCATACATATTAATATGTATCTATATAATATAATAATATGTATCTATATAATATAATAATATGTATCTATATAATATAATTGTATCTATATATTTCATATAAGAATATCTATATAATATAATAATATGTATCTATATAATATAATAATATGTATCTATATAATATAATAATATGTATCTATATAATATAATAATAAGTATATATTTCATACATATTAATATGTATCTATATAATATAATAATATGTATCTATATAATATAATAATATGTATCTATATAATATAATAATATCTATATATTTCATATATATTAATATGTATCTATATAATATAATAATATATATCTATATAATATAATAATAAGTATATATTTCATATATATTAATATGTATCTATATAATATAATAATAAGTATATATTTCATATATATTAATATGTATCTATATAATATAATAATATGTATCTATATAATATAATAATAAGTATATATTTCATATATATTAATATGTATCTATATAATATAATAATATGTATCTATATAATATAATAATATGCATATATATAATATAATAATATGTATCTATATAATATAATAATATGTATCTATATAATATAATTGTATCTATATATTTGATATAAGAATATCTATATAATATAATAACAAGTGTATATGACATTTTATAATATGTATATATTTCATATAATAATACTATGAATATATTTTATATAATAATATGTATAATATTTGAGTTCTGTTTTTTGCGACAGGTACAGATAGTCCATTTGGATATTCCCTGAAAAAATCAGCCTTGTAGCTCTGTAACTTTTCAATGAAAAAATATATTTGGGTTTGAGCACCTTTTGACTACCATTGTGCAGATCAGAAATTGCTAATTCATAATGTATAATATTCATATGTTGTGTATCAAATAAGATTCAGTCGATTGTGATGTTTGTCGACGATCACCGCGCCTTCATAAGTAATAATATCTGGTTTTGAAATGTTTGATTTTGTATCGTGTGGTCTAATGCAATGATAATTGTTTTGTGCGAAAGAACATAAAATGTACCACTGACTCCAAACAAATAAGTGGAAAATAGCTTGACAAAAAGTATGGAGACGATGCATGGGTTGACATAATGATATTGTGTTCTAGTTTTACACGTAGTTCCTAACGCGTTACTTTCCCTGAAACCAATTTTATTCGACGGATAATACCGAATGTGTGACGAATTTGTTCCAATATAACAACGTGGAACAGTTTGCAGTAGCGTAATGAGAGAATAAAAGTAGGGTGTATAACTCTGATGCATATCACCTCTGTAAAATAATCGACCATAATCAGCCTGGACCATCGGGCAATTATTGAAAACTAAACTTATAAAGTTTACGATTAAAGGGAAATAACTCTATAAGTAAACTTTATTTCTTGGCTAAGGAACACAATCTGTGTATCCGTATGTCCACATGTGTATCATAAAAAAATGCAGGACAGCATATGCATTCTGAGGGGGAGGGGCCCCATACCACTGATGTCCACAGTCTCCGAATTATCTATGTAGTACGGTTAGGTACGGTGGGTTCTATTGAAATTCAGATAATTTCAGTCGTAAATACTTCCAAATAGGTTTTCCACGAGAATGATTACTGTTGTGATTAGTGGTCGGCATTATTAAAATTATAATAATAATTCAATTTATTCACTTTATTATAGACTGGCAACAGAAGGTGCGCCCATTTACATTAATGGGTGAAAATAATTAACAGTAAATGGTGCTCGTATAAATCAGGCACATCATCATCATCATTTGGTCACATGCAGACTGTACTATATGTTGAACTCCAGGTAAGAACGTTTGAATATACAGAAATTTGGTATCGTGGGGGCTTCCTTTTTTCCATCCTTATATTGCAAAGACCGCAAGAACTTTGAGTCAATTTCGCTAATTGGAGGAACAGGTTTGCCATCCATTTGGCCATTCGTACCTTAGTCTCAGAAACTGGATGTTTTTTTAGTTTGAGTCATGTCCTGTATCCAAAATTATCGGCGTTTTAAATTTAAATTTCTTGATACACCGCAATAAATAGAAAAGACATATATAGAAAAAGAAAGTTAGATTTCTAGTTTGAAGTATATTTGAAGGGATTATGCGATTTTCGAGGAATGTATATGATATTTTTTTATATTTATACAGGATGTGTGGGAAATGGTCTATAATAATATGTATAGTTATAGTGGCAGTTACTGTTCAGCAACTATATTTTTCTGGACCAACTCTGGTATCCCATCTGAAGACAGATGTTGAGTGTACTTATGATTACATAATAGGTATGGATTTTATAAAATACTCCGAGATACTATTTACGTTGAATTAATCCACACGGATCATAGAATGAAAATCGAACGGAAACGACTTCGTTATTGCCAATATTTTAACCACTAAGTGTGCCAATCTGCTAAACCTTGTCCTTGTACGGTCACCAGTATCGTTGGACGTAACTACACTTCTTTCTATTGGTTATGATAATAGTTTTAAATCATTTTACTTTATCTCCAGTTGGCTCGGGATCGGCAGGAGCAGTGTTGGCTAACCGTCTGTCAGCAGATCCTAACACTAAAGTGTTAGTTCTAGAAGCTGGTGGTGACGATCAGCAATCAGATGGGCACATGTTAAAAGTTCCAATGGCATGGCCGATGCTTGTTGGTACGCAATATGATTGGAAATACCCAATGAAGAGACAGAAGCACGCTACGAGATCCATAGTAAACCAGGTAGGATCCGACACTGCACTGACACGTGACCTTATTACCTTAGACACTCGATTAGCCAAGTCCAAATCTGTACCACACGTAGTTCTAGTTGAATTTTTGTAACCTATTTGAAAATGGAATTTGAACCTCGTGTCCGTATGATACAAATATTCGGAAAAAAAGGGCAGAAGGCCACGCAATTTTTGTACAAAACAGTCCTTTGACTGTGCGTGATAACGATATAACGTAAGTAGACAATGGTTTCAACATTGCAGGCATTTCCTATGGCTACTGGAAAAGTTTTGGGTGGAAGCAGTCAAACCAACGCCAATGTGTATGTACGTGGTAATCGAAAGGATTATAATGGATGGGCACAGGGTGGTTGTGAGGGTTGGAGCTATGCAGAGGTTCTACCTTACTTTATGAGATCTGAGCACAAAACGGATACATCACACGTAGATAAAGGTAACTTACTGCTGCTACAACAAAAACTAGTATCACATTCTGTTTTATATTATTTTACCCTGTTTTGCTTTAAAATTTTGAATTCATTTTCCTTTTGATCTGAAAGGTTGATTATTGCTGAACGAGACGCTAGCTAGAACTTGGATAAGCTGTCCACGTTACAGATGACTCGAAAGATGGCATTTCCCGTCCTGGTTAAATCTTTCTGATAGAATCCCCAGTACCTCTATGAAATGCTGAAAAGTAGTTGATAGCCTAAAACTCCAGTACTAGCGTATCTATTTTGTGTTATAACGCCGAACTCTGTGTTTCAGAATACCACAACACAACTGGATCTTTAATGGTCTCAGAATCGCAAGATGACGAGTTTATCAAGTTTGTTCTGAGATTAGGAAAAGAAATGGGTTTACCAGAAACGGATTATAATGGAAAATCCCAAGAAGGTAAGTTATTAGGAATCAAATACATATAACAGTATTCTTTTAATGTGTGAGATGACTTCTAAACTAGATAAGTTGGGAGATAATCTACGTCTGTCAGACGATTTTATAATTGTATACATGTTTACAACATTAAACTAAGATCTGATTCTCATTTTGATCCAATGCTCATCCAAAAGACCACCTTCATCAAAAGAGACTAATTTAGGGCGGTATCTTGATACATGTTTTTTCTGTACAGTTCTGTACATATGATTTAATTCTGAACATAGCGTCATTGAAGTCTAGCGAGGTTCTTTAAGTTTAATAAAAACATAACAATATATACATGTTTTAGACTTAATGTGCATTTTTATTTCAGGTTTTTCGAGGGTCCAATCAACTATTAACAATGGAGAGAGATTCAGTACTGCTGCAGCGTTTCTATGGCCTGCTATAACCAGACCTAACCTCCACGTTCTTACTCACGCTCTGGTTACAAAGGTGAGAGTTTTTTTTTCACTTTTAGATATTTACTGAAAGTTATAGAGAAACTCCTTATATGATGGATTGCGAATCAAGATAAACACTCGGAAGTGAAAGAAAATTGAATTCACCCATTTGGTCAATATTTAATGTGGTTACTATAAATAGACGTGATGTAACAAGCGTCGCTGAATCAATATGGGTTGGGTGTGATATTCGAAGCATCTAATGTAAATGTCAAAGAAAGGTTATAGCAAGCTAGCAAAAATAAGGCACGTTTGGTATTCCTTTTGATCTAAATTCTTATTTAACTTTAGTATTGGATTTTTGTCTACAATTCAAAGCCAAGGTTCGACTGATAGTTCGATCCAAAAAACTATAAAAATCTAAATTTAGTTAAAATAATCAAGATATTTGATGAAAGACGTGGTAATGGTAAATTACCATATTCCTTTCCTAGCCTTTCTCCTGATTTCCAATGATATTTCCGCTGTTGAATTAGTGCTCAATACAATCGTAGAACGATAATAAATGCAAATGTAAATCAGTAAATTTAATTGATTAATAATTAATGTCAACGGAGAGAATAATCATCGTGTTAAGTAACTTCATTGATTAATACATTCTAATCCCTAACTTTGTATACCCGCAGGTAATACTAAGGAAGCATAAAGCAGTTGGAGTTGAATTTCATCATAATGGTGAACTTAAAGAGGTTTATGTTAAGAAAGAAGTCATATTGTCGGCAGGAGCTATTGGTTCACCTAAAATTCTACTTCTGTCCGGTATTGGCCCTAAAGATCATCTTAAAACACATGGGGTAATGTTATTTGTTAGTTATAACTTCAATGATAATGGTGACTTACGTTTAGGTTGATATGGTGTTATATGAAAGATCATTCTGTACGTTATTATTGTTGTCATGTCGTCAAGGTAACATGGAAGCAGGATGTAAATTTATACCAACAATTTTCCCTTTTTTTTATAGATTAACCTTGTTAAAGATTTACCAGTTGGAAACAATCTTCACGACCATATGAGTCTGTATGTACCATTTAGATCTAAGAAAGTATTTAACACCATGGACAAAGTGAAATCTGTTTTAACTTTATTACAATATATTACCATGAAAACTGGTAAGAAATGAACACATTCTATTCTGCCTTTACCGTTATACCAAACGCAATTTTCTTACATCCACGTCAAATATACGTCAAAATTACGAGAACATGGCTTGCAGCTTGTGTCGACTATACTTTCTCAACTAAATTGAAAAGTGGGAGTACAGAAGCATTTCTCGAAATTTTGCTGCCCTCGTGAAAGTTCCCTCATGCATGGAATCTAATCTATGGGAAATGAAATGAATGGAGTTTTACGTCCTACTTTTCTGCACCATGTTGGCAAGAAGAGGGCTAATCTATGGGAAGAGCAAATACAATTATACTTGTTTGATGCAAGACCGGACTTTTCATTGTAACATTTTAGAATTTTCTAATTCACCTTTTACCAACGATTTTTGCTGCATGCAACAGGTGGATTTTCCAATGTTCTGTCATCTATTTCAGGCAAATTGAGTGAATGTTTACAAGGAATTGGTTTTCTATCTACCAAGACGAGTGAACCAGATTATCCTGATGTCCAGTTTCATATATCAAATTTTGTGGTTGACGAAGTTGCATTAAACTTTACAAATGAGGTAACCAATGTACAAATTATTATTTTTATTCGAAAAGAAATAAAAGTTGAAAATCCCTCGATAGTTGGAAACCTGAACGAGCAGTTTCCTGGTTTCCTGGCAAATTAAGACGTGAACACAATTTCATTTTTTTTTCTTTTATATTTGATAGTTTGCAGAGTATTTTAACCAGATGACCCAAAAAGATAAAGTCGGATTTACGTTTTGGGCTGTATTAGCGCGACCCAAGAGTAGAGGAACCCTTCGTTTAAACAGCAGTGATGTCATGGACTATCCAATAATAGATCCCAATTATTTATCAAATAAGCTCGATGTGGAGACTTATATTAGAGGTAAGGAACACTGTCTTATATATATACCGAAATATATGCCTCTATTTCCAGCCTCTGATAGTTATTTGGACAGTTCTGTTCTACTCCATCCTATATCAGAACTGCTGACAAATAGCTTTCGGAGATGGAATAGAGGACGATGTTTCGGACTATGTTATATTGTCAACGCTTATAACGTTTACTGCTTTATTAGTAACTATTACAACTAAGCTAAAGTGACAGACAATCTTTGGGATTGATGCCCACAACCCTTGAATTTTGGAGAGTTCCTCAAAATCTTTCGTCGGTTGATAATCATTAAGATACCAAATACTAAAACATTGCATAGATAGAAACTTGTTAAAAGACCAATGCTAGGTGGAAAATCGTGAACCAATAATATACCCTCAATATATTACAGGCATAAGATTCCTTCAAAAAATACCCAAAACAGAGGCAGGGAAAGAAATTGGAGCTGAACTGATACTTCGACCTTTACCAATGTGTACCAAAGATAATACATATGATACCGACGATTATTGGGAATGTTTTCTAAGACATTTCGCATACACAGTTTACCATCCAGTAGGAACATGTAAAATGGGCAGTAAAACTGATACTACGGCGGTTGTGGACCCACAGCTTCGGTATTTATATTTTAAACTTATTGCATTATATATTTTACTCTGATATATAATTTGGATTTGTGTTTCTCTTAAGAATTGTGTAGAGTTTCTCTTAAGAATTATGTAGAGTTTCTCTTAAGAATTATGCAGAGAGGTCGAGTCGACATAATTATTAAGAAGCCCAAGAGGACCAGGCATTTAAGAACTCAATGATATGCAATTTGAAACTGGGGGCCAATGCCGGGCCAGCCAATTACCATGTTTTCCAAGAATATTTTGTTATATGTTTCAGTGTGAAAGGTATAGAGGGATTACGTGTAGTGGATGCTTCCATCATACCCAATATAACCACTGGTAATACACATGCTCCAACTGTCATGATTGGTGAAAAAGCTGCTGACATGATATTGGGATTGAAACCTCCTACACCCCTTGTACATTTATAACCAACGTCAAGCATTGTCTATAAAGAGTAGAATGGAAGACAGTCCTATCGGTGGGTACTCAGGGTCTGATCTTGATGCTCATTGGGATTGAATGGCCCTAATTTTTTACCCTTTTATAATAAAGATATTATTTTTTATAAAAAAAAATACCTTGATGTTAATAGGTACTCTTTCTATATATATATAGATTGTGATTCGATTTTTATATACGAAAGCAAATTCAGACAATCATAACCCTTGACAAAAAGACTGTACATACATACATCTATACAATATGACAGTGCAAGTTCTCGTCTGTATTATGCCTCGACTGTATGTTTTGATTCGGGAGCCGGGTGACTAAGTGAGTTAGACGCTAGCTCCGGAGTCCAATCCCGGCATGGGTCGAGATTATACTATTTTTTTAACCCGTTTACCTTGACATTGAAAAATCGTCAGGTCGTTTAGATGGGCCAATACATCGAGGCCCTGTGTGCTACAACTGGCTACGTTAAAGATCCTTCGACAGTTTGAATCAAAGGAGGCTGATGCCGTTGTCCCGGCAGAATTTCCCAGAAACATTTCTATATTTTGTGTTTTGATTCACAGAAGAAAATTGACCTTACATATATTCCATAAAATGAAAACATGAAATTTATTTTTTGGCGATATTCTGTCAAAAGTTCTTATTTAAGATATGTGTCATATTCTTCAAAACTTGAGTTAAGTAAGTTCGAACAGCTTACCCGAGTAAAAATAAAACTCGAATTTACGAGTCGAATCATCTGTCCATGACTATTTGACTTCTATATGCAATCTAATAATTCAAATTTTGTAGTCTGGATTATCGAAAGTCTGACAGGCGTTATGTCCCTTTTGTTAGACCATACCATTTTGTCATAGGGATAGTTAATTTGCACGGTTATCGAAACAATAAGGTATACAGCTGTAAGATACAACACCCCCTATTGCAAAATAGCACGGCCCATAAAGGAAATTACGTCATAGGAAGGGAAATTCCCCATCATAATAAATAAGCACGATTTTTATTAAGTGTGAAAACGTGTTTTGTTTTTAAAAGTGAAAAAGGACGAGTAAATTGATATGCGTGTATGTAGCAAAGCAACGAATTTTCCGAAGTATAGGTAAGTTTATTGCATTGAGTTTTTGCTTCTGTGAGACATGTTAGGCAAAAAATGTCAACAACCGCCCCCCCCCCCCCCTCCCAAACAAACAAACAAACAAACAAAACAACAGCTTATTTCAAACACAACACACACATATTGCAGCTGTGAAGGACATTTTTCTCGAAGCAATGAGATAAGAGTTGATGATAGGCCTACCATATCATTAGTTATTTATTATAAATCACAGTAGGGGGCTGATTCTTATCTTTTACCAAGAGAATTTATATTACTTCTATATTAGTTATGCGTAATTAACTTTCTCATTTACATAGTCCAGAAAATCTTGAATTTTCTAAATGAAAACAATAATTTAAAAGCATTAAAAAATGTCACTAAACTTTTGAATATATTCCACTTGCGAAAAATATGTTAAATATGATGTTTTTTTTTACAAAAGAATGAAAATTCCTGTCTAAGGATTGTTTCATATGATTTCTTTCTCCCTTCTCCCTTCCAAGGTCTAAACAGATGCAAAAGTGTTGGTTAGCATAGTTCGTTCTATTTGTTAAGTGTGGGTTAACATAGTTCGTTCTATTTGTTGTGTGTTGGTCTAATAGTTCGTTCTATTTGATAAAAAGTGTGTGTTAACATAGTTCGTTCTATTTGTTGTGTTTGGTTAATATAGTCCGTTCTATTTGTTGTGTTTGGTTAACATAATTCGTTCTATTTGTTGTGTGTTGATTTATATTTAGATGTATTTAGTTTGTAGAGAGAAATTAGAAATTGTCTGTTGGGTCTATTGGCTGTGTGTTGGATTACATTTAAATCAGCTTTTGAATATAGAGGCATTTGACACTATTCTCTAGTTCCATGTCCAGGCTATGTGTTGTGTGTTTGTTTACATTAAGAACAGTAATCAATTATGAAAGAGTATCACCGGTTTGAGATCTATGAATAATATGAAAAGAAATAATTTGAAAATTGATTGCAGTCGTTTCAAACAAGCGAAATTATCAAATATTAGAATGGTGATCGATATAACTGTAAAATGAAAGTACATGATGACCTAAAGTATATAAGTAGACATATCATATCATGGATTCTATAAACTAGTGGTAGAATCAATTTCTTAGTGTTTGATGACGTCACTAATCGCGAGAGGCCTAATGTGATAAAGCATATTTCGAGATAAGAGACGTCATCAAACTCTTAGTTTTAGTGTTTATTTCCTGAATGTCTTTAAAACAATATGTTATATAGAGAAGTAAAAATGAAAATAAGATATTGGTCGTGACCCTCCACTCAGGCCTGTAAAAGGTCTTATTTTGAAGTGAAAATTAAGCCCAAAATGTTCAAAATTCATCTCGGGCGAGCGGAAATCTGTTTGAAACTCGGGTTTGGTGTCAGTCCACATGAGTTCTATTTTGATTAAAATGTGACTTTATATTTTTTTATCATTTTGGATTCTTATCTTACAACGTTTGTTTCTTTTTGTGACTTTGTTACAAACGCCTGTTGTTGTCATTCATTGCTGTGATATGTTGCGCTGGGAGAATTTTCACAGTAGACGGTTTGTCAAAATGCGACGTGGTCCGGCTTCAGTTATAATTGATACTATCACAACATTGAAAAGATTAAAGTAATTAACCCTGTGGTAAGATATGATTTATTGCTAAACAAATACAATTATGTCACTAACCCAACGTATCCGAATGTCCACGTGCCATAAAGGTTATAAAGCGTATACAGTGACGTTTCTAGGAAACATTAGGTCAGAGGCCGAGCAGAGGCCACAGGCCGTTCTTTCATTATACAAAATGCTAAAAAAGTCGGGTCGACAGCCTGCCTCTTTTCGGATGCCACCCTTTGGCACGTTTGGCACTTTGGTATAATGAACCTAATTCTGATGTAAAATAAAAAGTAAATTAGTATTATTATATTACCAACGTCAATTTATCGGTTGTGACGTCTGTACGAACATTGCCGCCAAATAACTCCACACTCATCATCTAACGATCTACCGTGAAAGCTCTGTTAACTTTACGGAAACTGGCGATGATTGCCGAATGCCTCATCCTCTTAAAGCTTTCCACGCACGTGCACTAAACTCCACGTGTGTATCGAACTATACGCTTAGCAGAGCTTCACTCATAGTCTCAAGTTTCCATGTCTCAAAACATAAAATCAACCATACATAATAATTCATATTATAGCAGATATTATTATGTGACACGTTAACATCAGATGATCGATTAAACAACAAAACGCTTCGGGCTGGATGTTTAAATTGGTTTACTCGTGAAAACTGAGCTATAAATATTGTTTCATGTCTTCGCTGTTGTTGTCATTCAAAAGCCATCTAAGGCTATATATAAGCCACGCCCCTACCTTCACATTTATATTAGTTTCGTGCATAGCTGACAAAGGACATGGTCTTTTTCCGTCTAAAAACGATCGTGGTAATATTCACAGTTATTATAGTTCTTTCTCTTTTCTTTACATTTGAAAATTCTACCAAATCTAAATATGAGGAAAAGGATTTGAAGCAGACGAGAACTGACGCTAAGATATTACGCTGGATTAACAAACAGTGGATAGAATTGAATCATTTCTGTGAAGGAAGGAATAATTTTTTGCGCGCCGTGCTCAATTCACCTGCAGGGAAAACGCCAATATTTGTACACGACCTGAATGATGATGCGGCAGTTTCGAAACAGTTGTATGATAAGGGAATTTGGGATCCTGAAAATGTTGGATTAGTTCACAAGTACCTTACAAGCTATCCGGATTTGGTATTTATGGATTTAGGAGCTCATGTTGGAACTTTCTCTTTGATGGCAGCCAAACTTGGAAGACAAGTTTGGTCGGTCGACCCACTACGGGGAAATTTGTTTCGACTGTGCAAATCGATTGAAATTGGGAATTTTACTGAACAGGTAACTGTATTTTATACAGCTTTATCTGACACGTACAGTGTTTTTAATTTCCAGACGGATTACAAGAACATAGGTGGCACTAGACTTAACCAGAAAATAGACGTGACCAATTTTTCTCAAAATGGAGATGCAACCGGAATAAGCGTTATTAGCACTGTTAAATTAGACGATCTTCTGCCCTTAGTGAATTTTAAACGGGCCTTTATTAAAATGGACGTTGAAGAACATGAAATGAATGTGCTTGTAGGTGGGCAAAGATTTTTAGACTCTGTAGATGTGCCGTATATTCTTATGGAGTGGTTCTGGCACAAAAAACCATCGGGAAAATTTGGCCCTTCAATTATTGACTATATGACTAAGCGAAATTACAAACCGTTTCACCCAGCTACAGATGCCTTGTTATCGCTAAATGATTATCATAACTGGCCTATTGATGTATTATGGAAAAAATATTCTTGATTTCACTTTTCATTCAAAAATGCCTTACATTATATCCCTAAGGTCACACTTTGTGTTGACATTGACTGTTCAAAGAAAGAACAGTTATTTCTGTTTGACAAAAGACAGAATATCTCTTTTCAATTCGTCACGTTGTATTCATTTGACATCAAACCGTATTTTCGTGATCTTTTCGATTCACAATATCTTACGATATAGTGTGTTGAGACTAAAGCAGAATAATCGTTAGTCACAAAAGTAGAAATGCTAATCACGTCTAATACTCATTGGATTTGTTGTAAGACACTGTAAAGATTCTGTATACCCTCTCGCTACAACACATGGCCTGTCCGATTCTGTCAGAAGTCGTCTCCTGGCTATTTTTACCCAACTCAAATTTTATACAACGCAAAATTTATTTAGGTTAAACTAAAGAGTGAGACGACACGACCTTGAAATTAGTTGTACAGTAGCTGTATGCTCACGTAAATGAGTTTAAAGTTTGGGTTACTTTTTTTTAAGTGTCAAATTAAGAAAACTAATTGATTAATTGGTGTGTCTAATGGATTATCACATAATCTTTTTCATTATTGCATATAATTTAGAGTTTTAACTTATCATTAGTGTCCATGTATGTACAGTTAGATAAACAAAAAAAATACTTTTGAACCTTTCTTCATTGGTCATTGGAATTCTGATGGTAATTCTCTTCTAATTTAGCTAATTATGAATTATTTATGGACATGTCAGACAAACTGGTTTATTTTCAAGTCATAAGAACACCTAGCTCTGATCACAAGTATTAGCATTTTCATATATGAAAATTTAAGGGAACTCATCTTTAAGTAAATATTGTAGGTGAATGGCAAATATAGACGGGTTTTGTACATTGAATTCTTTTATTTGAAAACGTTTTACAACACACAAAGCTAAATCCTTTTCGTGCAGAATATTTTCTTTCAAGGAGCAAGATATATTATTGTGATCTGCATTAATAGGTCCCCATTACTAAAACCAAACTTCTCGATTTTTATTTGAAGATGAATAAAATGACAAACCTTTGAACAACGTCCAAATTGAAGATGTTTCGATGAACGGTTTTAAAATTATTGCCCTGAGACCAAGAAGCGTCAAAAATACCCCTTGTCGGCACCAGCAGATGTAGTTTTCAATCGATTTTGCTGAAACTTGGTGTGACTAGGCCTACATTGATTTACATGGTCTTGACGAGTTTGAAGTTGGTTGTTGTAGGCATGGATGATGCCCACCATTCATTAAGCGTTTATCTTAAAGCTTAAATCCGTAGGCCTACAGTAGTTTTCTTAGGCCTACCAAAAAACGTTAACAAACTTTCAAATTGGCATTAAATTATACAGAAGTGACTTTTGTGTAGACATTTCGGACTACGAACCTGCAACTCTTCATCTTCGGAGGAACGAATTGCCGATTGGTTCAGAAACAGTTGGTGGTCCAATCAAAATCCTTTTCTCAAAATCCAATGTCTGATAAATGGAAAATCAAAATTAATGGAGCCCATGGGATTATTTATGTAAATCTTTTGGGTATTTTGTGATTTAAGAAAGGTAAGGGATATGTTCCTCTTATGATGACATGCATTTTTTATTCAACCACATGGAAATGTGACGTATACTGCCGTTGCCCCAGTCCGACAACATTTCTTGTGAGCACTATAGACTACAGTTTTGATTTGATTTGAATGAAATTTGGTTTGATGATTTATATTCATGAGATCTTAGTCAAGTTCAAATTTGATGATTTTTCGATGAACAGTTTTTGAATTATTGCCCTTGACTTAGTTAAAACGTGTCCAAATTTGTTCGTGAGCGCAATAGAGACTGCAGTTTTCATTCAATTTTAATGAAATTTGATGTGATGATTTAGATTCATAAGATTTTCGAAGTTGAAGGATTTTTGATGAACGGTTTTTGAGTTATTGCCCTTGACTAAGTAAAAGTGTGTAGAAATTTGTTTGTGAACACAATGGATACAACAGTTTTCATCTGATTATAATGAAATTTGGAGTTATTTATTTTTATGAGATCTGTCAAGTTCAGTAAGATAATTCTTTGATGAACAATTTTTAAGTTAATGCCCTTGAAAAACATGTTAAAATTTGTTTGTGGACTGATTCAAGTTTGACATTTATTGGATAAACATTTTTTGAGTTACCCCCATCAGATTATGATAAAATTTGGTGTGATCATTTAAATTGATGAGAACTTAGTCAAGTTTTAATACAATGAATTTTCAATGAAGGGCTTTTTGGTTATTGTTATTGATTTAAAATAAAAAATTTGAATGAATATAATTAATAACTACAATGTATCATGAAGATCTTTAAAATTATAAAATTCATATTTAAGTCACTTAAGACTGTTCTTATTTCTGACACCTTGTAGTAGGCATATGTTACTTTGCATGGCAAGCTATCTTTAAGTTTTTCACTGGATGAAAACAGCAGTCTGTCCCTTTAAGTTCTGTAGTGTATTTGACAGTTTGATGAGTTGCCTAGCCTAAAGACATTGATGCTGAACTAAATGTATTTTTTTCTTTTTGTAAATGGTTCATACTAGGGCCAAACTAGGGATAAATTAGAGTTGTGTTTCATGTTCGCCCTGTTATAGAAATTATAAACATGGTGACACATATACTAATGACTATGGCTAACCCTTTTTTGGTAGGGGGGGGGGGGCTGGTTGGGGATTGAGTTGAATCATGGTTGCCATGACTGCTAGGAGTGTATTTTACAGATTATGACATGAAAAGGTTTTCATCGGTTTTCATCAGAAAACTAGTGGAAAGAAAATGATACATCTTAGTTGGTTGAATCTGAATGGGTATTCCCCAAATAACTTTTATTTATTTAGATTTCATATGCAAAATGGGCGTTGCTTGAAAGGGAGCTGTCATTAAACTCCGAAGAAAAGCTAGAAATTTTTTTTTTTTAAATCCCTGAAAATTCCATAGCAAAGATTCTCAATCGAAGCTCATCAACGACAAAGCAACCATGGTCAAATCAGATACAAACTGTAATCTTTATTTTGAACATGGTTGAGGACAATATTTTAATGTGACTGAAAAATCATGTGCCTTTTCAAAGTACAATATCCTTAATTTTTTCAGCACCAATGAAATCAATGAGGCAATCTTTCATTTCGATCAGTTCTTTCACAGTGTCATGAAATTCTCCATAATGGGCAGTAAAGATATAAATAGCTCTGTGTAGAACTCTCAAGGCCTCTTCTGCTCTCTGAGCATTGAATAATATATCTGCCAACTTCTGGAGCTCATGGCCAACTTCTATACTATCTGAGCCATACATAGCTTCTGTTACTTTGATACTGTCTTGTAAATGGTGGACAGCTTTAATGTGGTCACCTGGAATTGAGAATAAAATTTTTTAAATGAACTTAATCCAAAGCACCAATTTATAATATATTACATGAGAAATGTCTTCTGTCAATAACCTCTTATATATTATGTATTGTAATTGATATTGTAGATACACATAATTAAAAGGAATAGGTTAAATGGACAGGTGGTCCATTTTTTGGACTGATAGTACCATAGTTTCCAAAACAGGAATTTTTTAGCTAAGTTCACAGCTCACTATCGAAATTTGAGCCTAAAAGACAAATCGTTTTTTTTTTACTTTCTCTATCATATATGGAAAAGACATGTATGGAAATAGTAAGTCAAACTCTTAGTTTGAGTTATTTTTGAATGAATTATGCGATTTTCGTACATTTCTAGTATTTCTGAAGACTATTTACATATATATTCAAGACCAAAATTATCCCGAAAAATGGTCTGCTTGTTCCTTTAACAGGCCTCATTTATATTAGCCCTCTCCAAAAAAGGAATAGAGTCATCCATTTGAATGTATGAAATAGAGCATGTTAAGTTTTTATATAGTTTGTTGATCTTCTTATTAAATGAATAAAAAATGTACTCTATTTGGTCATAAAGAAGATATAGCTTTCCACCCTTGGATAGGTTTTTATTGATGTCCCATTTTATTTTGATAGCCGTTCATTTTGATAAATTTCAAATTTACTTTTTCGAACTATTTAAAAGAGGAACATTTGGCATTTTAAGGAGTTGATTTGAGTCTTGAAAATATGTAACTAATCTTCAGAAGTACTAGAATGGTACGCATAATTCCTTAAAAAAAAGAATTTTACTTATTAATGTCTTTTCTATAAATGGTGCCGGCTGTGGAAGTTATGCTAATAGCTCTGCTACATATCATGGTAATGAATGACAGACATTAATATTGTCACATGATCACGTTATTTAAATATTCAGGACTTCAAGTAGTTGTGAACAAAGACAATGACGACAAGCACTTTGTAAGATATGGATTCAAACTGATAATAATATGTATAATTAGTGAACCAACACCATTGAATGCATAAGTGAGTGACAGGTTTAACTCCCAAAGGCTCTAAATTTAAAGACTAAAATAAAGTTGCAATATAACTATCTCTTATTATGACTTTTAATTTGTAGCTTTATATCCACAAGATCTTGTTCAAATTCGAAATTAAGTTAGATTCAACATTATGATAGCAGAGTTAAACCCTTGATACACTCAAATTTATGTTAAATGTGGCTTGTGAACACAATAAAGTTGACAGTTTATGTCCGAATTTTATTAAAATTTGTGAGTAGGTTTAAATGAACAATATCTTTCTAGGCAATCGCATGTTTAAAATATAATTACCTTGTACAGTATAGCCCCTAGCTAAACTATCATCAACAGACGCTCTAATAACATTATATTCATGTAAATGTTTACAACATAGCTTATAACATAACAAGAGAAACTTCAAAGCTTCTGAAATATAAAATGTCTGTAATAACATTGTCTTCAAGTAAATCAAAGGGAAAGCATTTGTCTGATAAATGAAAGGGAAAGCATTTGTCTGATAAATGAAAGGGAAAGCATTTATCTGATAAATGAACTGCAAACGCCCCCCTTCAAAATTACAGTGAAGTGACCCCTTGATGTAGGAACATTACTAACCTTGTGTATTTGAATGCTGTAATAGTGAAGTGACTCCTTGATGTAAGAACATGACTAACCTTGTGTATTTGAATGCTGTAATAGTGAAGTGACCCATTGATGTAAGAACATGACTAGTATTTGAATGCTGTAGTAGTGAAGTGACTCCTTGATGTAGGAACATGACTAACCTTGTGTATTTGAATGCTGTAATAGTGAACTGACTCCTTGATGCTAAAACATTACTAACCTTGTGTATTTGAATGCTGTAGTAATGAAGTGACTCCTTGATGCTAAAACATTACTAACCTTGTGTATTTGAATGCTGTAGTAATGAAGTGACTCCTTGATGCTAAAACATTACTAACCATGTGTATTTGAATGCTGTAGTAATGAAGTGACTCCTTGATGCTAAAACATTACTAACCTTGTGTATTTGAATGCTGTAATAGTGAAGTGACTCCTTGATGTAATAAGCCTTCTATCTGTTGTCTGATTTCTTTTGAAGCTGTGTCTTCTGTTTGTCCACAATCCAGACATTGTGGTAGTTCACTGGTTGTGTCAATAATGCCTGTACAGCTATTGCATATTGCAGCCTAGATAAAAAATAAGGGCAGTAACTCATATTAAATATTTCTTAATTGTTTCAATTTTTGTAAGAGTTCATCCTTGGATATAATAAACCATTTTACCAAGTTTCATAAGAATCCATTAAGAATTGTGACCTGTAGAGTGTTAAAAAGAGCTAAAAATGGAAAGCATTTTGAAGAACTTGTACTAAATAGTTTAATTCTCGACTGGGCTCATTCTGATGTAAAAATCTGTCATGAATTGTGCCTTCTGGAGTGACTGCAAGCAATTATTTAAGGACAATATATGCTCTACATTTCATGCAGAGGGAATATACCCTGTGAAATTAAGACAAAATGAGATGATATGAATGGAGTTTTATCATCAATTTTTCTGCACCATGTTGGCTAATGAAGATGGGCAATGCCATGCTGGGTGTAATGAGGGAAATTTTGTCAGGACAGCAGAATTAGCCTGCTGCTTTTTGATTTCCAACTGTCGAGGGATCTTTAACGTACACAGCTTGTAGCACACAGGGCCTCAGCTTGTAGCACACAGGGCCTCGGTTTATTTTCCCATCCGAACGACTAGATGCTTTTTACATGTCAGCCCCTTGTACCTGCATCATTGACAAGGGGTCCCCTATCAGTGATAGGGCCAGTGGTATTTGAGAGGGTATAATATAAGTTGTACACTAACAAGGAGATGAATGCAGGTTTAAACCTGTGAAGTTGGTCACAGTTGTGGCTATTCAAGTCTTCAGTCAGACTGTTGCCAACTTCAGGGGATTAATTCTGCATTCACCTACAGGGGGTGTGCTATGAATTAATCCTATGATATACAATGTACATAACATTTTTGATTAAAGTTACTTTTTACACTTGTTAGCTAATTCTTCATAAAAAAAGTGTAAAAATGTTTTGTACAGTCAGCATGTTTATCAAACAATTATATGAAGACGAAATGGTCAATGTCAATGGGGGTTTTGTGTCAAGCTACATGAGCTGTCAAGTGTACTACAGTTTTGACCCATTAAACACTGGTGTAGTATTTAAATGTTATATTAAGTTAACTCAATGTCATTTATAGTAAATCAATCACCAATATAGCCCCATCATAAGATAAGTTAATGTATTTTCTTACATTAAATTTGATATCACCAGCTCTTTCTTCACAACATGGTGGACATTTACAATGAAAAAAATATTGGTTCTCTAAAACTTCTTGTCTTCGTTTTCTAACCATTCTTTTATGATGGGGTCCTTTAATACAAAGATGCATTTGATGATTATGTTTCTTCTACAAAGAATTTTTTCCAATTGTTGAATTAACGCAATCTGATGAAAATACAGATCTAGATGATTCTTCCATGCTATTCTAGATGGTAATTATACCTCCAATCAATAACATTTTTCTTCAAAATGAATTCAGTCAACTAAAACATATGACATCATAAAACTCAAACACTCTATCCAACAGAGCTACAGCCTGTCTACAATCATCAGTTAAATAAAACCATCAGTATATATGGTCCTGCAATGCCACTTTGCTTTTTTGTTTATTTGAAATACAGTGAAGAATTAGATTAAGATCAATATTATTGATTATTATTAGTATAGTGCTCATTACTTCTCTAACGTGAGCATTCAATGGTGCTTTACAGACACAAATAATTCTACATTATAGTCAATGTCTATACACACACACCCTCACGCGTGACACTTGATTTAGATAAAGGTTGTTATAAAAAGATGTGTTTATTAGCTAATGAAATAATCAATTTTTACCATAACAATTATAAATTTCTTCTCCCTCTAGTACTTTCTTGACAGATTTCACTATTAATGTGTCACCATGAAAACTGGAGAAAAATATAAGCAAATATGATCATTACAATAAAGGTCTGAACCATAACTTATAAATAAACATTGTACACTATTCATGCTTTTCCTTATTAATGCAAGGAGATTTTGTGACCATATTTAAACTCTAAGCTTAAAGTACTAAGAAAAAATATTATCTTGACTTCCAGCCAAATTAAAATTCTTTTCGTAAGGTTTTTTAACTTGGACAATCTAGGCCAACAGGCTCTGACAGTCCCCAAAATCTACAACTTCAAGAGGTTTGGGTTTTTTGGAGAGACACCTGTGTTATCTTGACTTACAACCAAACTACAATTCTTTTTGACTAGGATAATCCCTCCCAAATCTACAGCCTCAAGGGGTTTTGGGGAGACGCCTCTCAATTTTGGCCGCCTCTTCGGCCATTTTCTAAATCACCCCTGAATAGCTGATATTGAGTTTTTTAGAAGCAATATTTCATGCGATATTTCATTTATTAAATTGACTTTATCAATACTGCTGTATGCACATAATGCAGGTGTAAAAGAAGTTTTGCAATACCTTGATATTATAGTAGGATCACAGGAATGGTTCATCAGACTAGCTGTAGGGTAGATGGCAGTAGCTATTCGTACCTGACTAGTATCTAATATCATTGAATCATTTATAGTATCAGTACACTGGACTTCGGTTATAGCATGAGCATTACAAACCAACTGTTCAATATGGCGTAACAGAAGTCCACCTATATCTAACATTTCATTGGTTAAGACTCCACAAAAACTTGTTTTATTGCTTGAGGATTGGCAAGCCTCTGTTTTGCCATTGGTCAAAAGACCATCAATGTTACTTTCCATAGACTTTTCATTGGTTGAAATAGAATTGTTTTGCTTCTTTTGATTGGTCAAACTATTATCTTTGCTGTCATTGGCTATGTCAGCATCTTTTCCTTCATTTGCATAAATTGTTCCGCCTTTATCATCAATTTCGACACTTTGAAGATCTGCTTGTAATGTAGAATCAATATGTGTTGCTATTTGAGTTACATTAGTATTAAACCAACCAGAATGTACCAGTATAATCAGTAGTAATGCAGCAGTCTACAATCAAACAAATAATGTTTGCTGAAAAGGGGGGATATGTGCCAGCTTCCAGATGTCAAGAACTACATTAAAAATACATTCTCCTTCTGTAATTTTGTGAACATAATTTTGGTTTTTTGTTACATGTTAGTAAAGGAAATGATTTTTTTTTATGGACTTTATTTGCTTTCAAAAACATTTGATATTCAAAAATGTTTAAAATTGGCCCGATATCCAGATCTTTATTATGGCTATGATATAAGTATTGCAAAGTATACTCTGAAAATTTGCTCATACTGTATATAATAAATTTACACTACAAGTATTTATTGTAAGAACTCAATACACAAACTTTAACCCTTTCAACCCTAGCGGCTGGTTAACTGGCCACACATGCAGCCAGTATACCAGCCATTACTAGGTGATGTCATACAACATTAACGTCATACGCTTTTACTTTTATTACTTGGAGTTCAGGCTATATGACGTTATATTTCATTTACACTCAAGGTTCATGATTAATTTTGTAGTAAGTATGGTCTTCCTCCATGTAAAATTTCAACGGTATGATTATTCTTGTTGAAATGTGTTTTGTGAAATGATGGCTTGATAAGCTTTGTTGTTTAACCCAAAAACTTACCCCTGAGTATTGATACATATCTTCTGTAAGTATATCATTATCATGTGTCATTAAATAATAAACTGTATCATAACTCCTCTCATATTTTCCTCTCTCATTTAAACCAGGTAATCTAGAATTGGCTGTTTTCTTACTTTCATCATCTTTTCTTTCCTTGATAAAATCTGAATTGATGGAATTGAAGTTATAAGTGTCTAATCATCACCGATTAATTTTCAATCAAAAAGGATGGGCTTAAAGAGATGAGTTTCCATCAGTGGCTTTTTATGGAACTGAACCAAGTTCTTTTTATTTATAAAACTGTTATATATTATGTAGATAGGGCCCTATCTAGTATCCCCCTACTGTCAAAATATGAGAAAATTATCTCCCTTTACGCCATCTCTTCAACATCCCTGAAACTAATGTCATGTGAGTACTTGAAACCACTCTCAAAGATTTTGTATGGTTTAGAATTTAGATTCACCACAGCAGCTTTTTGGATAAAATGAATCATGTATATATTAATAAGGATCATGCTCAAACAACAAGGTTTCTTTTACCACCTTACATGAATCTTGCGTCCCTTTACTACCCTATGAGAATTTAGTAACTAACCTGTCAGAAACTGTAAACCAGCAGTTAAAACTGTACGTAGACTAAGATGAGCTATACCCACGGAATGTAATAAATCTAAATATGGACATTCTACAGAATGATACAGCTTCCAGGATTCTTCTTGACATTTACTGCTACAGTATCTTACTACACTACACTGTATACATCTAGAAATAGAATACAATAGATGGAATGGAATAGAAATATGAAACAGAATAGAAGTAGAAGATGATAATTCTATGATCTATGATTATAAAAGTACATACCCGACAAGATTAAGTGGTAGTAGATAGTAATATAAAAGTACATACCCACCTAGATTAAGTGGTAGTAGATAGTAATATAAAAGTACATACCCGACTAGATTAAGTGGTAGTAGATAGTAATATAAAAGTACATACCCGACTAGATTAAGTGGTAGTAGATAGTAATATAAAAGTACATACCCGACTAGATTAAGTGGTAGTAGATAGTAATATAAAAGTACATACCCGACTAGATTGAGTGGTAGTTTATGATAACAGTGATGACAATGCGTTTTATAATGATTGGTACTGTATACCGGACTAGATTGAGTGGTAGTTTATGATAACAGTGATGACAATGTGTTTTATAATGATTGGTACATACCCAACTAGACTGAGTGGTGGTTTATGATAACAGTGATGACAATGTGTTTTATAATGATTGGTACATACCCGACTAGATTGAGTGGTAGTTTATGATAACAGTGATGACAATGTGTTAATGATTGGTACATACCCGACTAGATTGAGTGGTAGTTTATGATAACAGTGATGACAATGTGCTTTATAATGATTGGTACATACCCGACTAGATTGAGTGGTAGTTTATGATAACAGTGATGACAATGTGTTTTATAATGATTGGTACATACCCAACTAGACTGAGTGGTGGTTTATGATAACAGTGATGACAATGTGCTTTATAATGATTGGTACATACCCGACTAGATTGAGTGGTAGTTTATGATAACAGTGATGACAATGTGTTAATGATTGGTACATACCCGACTAGATTGAGTGGTAGTTTATGATAACAGTGATGACAATGTGCTTTATAGTGATTGGTACATACCCGACTAGATTGAGTGGTAGTTTATGATAACAGTGATGACAATGTGCTTTATAATGATTGGTACATACCCGACTAGATTGAGTGGTAGTTTATGATAACAGTGATGACAATGTGTTTTATAATGATCAGGTAGTAGAACAGATGAAAATGGTTTCTCTACAATCAGAGTGTCTCCAACTTCTATTTCTCTGTTGGTCTAGTAAAATTGATTAAGATATTACATAATTTATTAACTAATTATACAGATGACACATTTTGATTACATATTCTATGCAAATTCAGAAAAAATCAGGAATATTAACAGAAGAAAACTTTACAGCTATACAAGTACATTGCATGATATCTGCATGAAAATGCCTTTTGAAAAATGCAATAGGTTACCACAAAATGAAGCCAGTGTTAGCAGGGGACTCAGTAAGTTGATTGCTTGCTGGCCTTATTAACTTGAAGATAAAGGGTTCAATCCTGTCATGATAAGATATACCATCAGATTTTTCAACTATATTTGCTTACCGTTAAATATCGACCTTGTTCTTTAGTATATCTCATATCAATACAGTTTGAAGCCTGTGTCAAAATATCATTGGTACCATAGGAAACAACGTGTTCTTTCAATTGAGCTGTCTTCTTAGTTTCTGTGAGTGACTCACTAAATTAAAACACAGTAAAAGTTGAAAATCATTTACTAGCATCAATTATATCAACATATCCTAGTGAATATATTAATGGTAATATCACACCACCACAAAACATTGCATTAAGTATTCTTATACCTTTACTATGCTTTTGACTTATTTGCCAAAGTAATTCCTTTAAACAGTAGTTAAGGAAATCATTTCAGACAAATATGTTAAGGATCTGGCAAACTAAGCTGGCACAGTAGAAAATGATTTGGGAAACTCAGCAATGATTTGCTAAACTTATTACAAGCCTTATATGTGCCAATTACAAAAGAACCACAATCTACCAAAGTGGAATCAAGCAGATATACCTTTTATTATGAAGTGTCTTCTGCAATCCTTCAATTTCCTTCATCACTGATTCTAAATAAATAAAACTTCGAAATTACAAACCAAGAAAACGTACAAAAATAAATTCATAAGCAGAAAAAATGCCACTGCCACCATATTGATTTTGATTCAATAAAATTAATAAGGGAAAAAACCAATCTTACCAAATTTCTTGCTCTCTATTTTGTCTTTTTGAGAATTAATGAAAGTTAATGTACTCTCCAGTTCTGAAAAAAGTAAGACAGCTTTTTCGATAATGTCTCAGGTGAAGCAATTAAATATTTTTAAATGCAAGGCTAAGAAAAATATTGAATATAGAAATAAGGGGGTTTATAGGTTACTTTTGACTGATAAGGGTAAAGCCAGGATTCAGCTTAATGATACACTGATACAGGCATAAATAAAAAATAAGGTTTCCAATAACATAATGTTTAGCCTATATTGCCTGAGATGCCATGCAAATGGGAATACTTTCTTTGCCGTATACTGACCATAGCCTGCATGCTGGAAATCATTTAGTTGTAGACGACACTGGATTCTTCTTGTATATAATTTATACAGTGATTCTTCAGGAAAACCTGACTCTACTGCTCTTTCTATATCTGTCAAACATTCCTATAAAAACAAATGAAATGAAATGAATGGAGTTTTACGTCCTACTTTTCTGCATCATGTGGGCTAATGAAAATGGGCAACACCATGCAGGGTGCAATGAGGGAAATTTTGCATTAGCCTGCTCTTTTTCGATTTCCAACTCTCAAGGGATCTTTAACATGCAAAAGCACCTTGAATCAAACACATCACAAGATGCCATGCGATTTACAAAAATAAATATTCAGCAAGTTGTCAAGGAATTGGATATTTTCAGAGGGCAAATATACACTATACGGACAAATCTTTAGGCCTGTACAGTCTATCTTACCTCATATTTACAGAGATGATACAAAGCAGCTGATCTGTTACCATAAGCTAGTGCTAGATCATTACCATTGTTAACAGGTGACAACAGAACACTCTGTAAATTTAATCAGTAAGATACAGTAACAGAATCTACAAAGTTACTAGATGTTTTTTGGGATTATCATGAGGGACATTGTAGTAATGTCTATGCTTTGCATAGAATTGGCAGGTAGGGTCAGAGTTGTCTGGCTAGGTTGAAATGATGATATATCTATTGAAAGAGAAATGACTTCTAAAATCATCATACCTCTGTATAAAACTCAATAGCATTTCCATAATTTCTTTTCTTAAAGTGAATATTTCCATTATTTTTACACTTGGCAGCTTTTTCTGAACTTTTAGTATGAATCAAGTCACAATTATCCAAATAAACTTTCAACCATTCCACATTCCTGTACAATAGTCAAATAAATAATATAATATATACTATATAACTCTTTATAAGTATAATATATACTATATAACTCTTTATAAGGCTTAGAAATGATAAATTAATTAATTACTCTCTTTTTCTCCTTGAGGTCGTAATACAGAGGTTCAACTGTATGAACCTCGCTAAAACGAAAGTAGTGCGATTACTTTTTTCCGATTATGCAAACAAAGAGAAAAAATCATACTGAATCAAATTTTGGTTGAAAATGAATTTAATACGTTCTCTGACAGTTTTTAAACACCCAAACGACTCAAGACATCCCGAATTAAGAGAATGATTAAGAAAATCATCCAAATTTTGTTGCCAGTTGCCAACATTAGCCGCCATGTTAAACACTTAGTCATTTCATTGGTTAAATCGTCAAGGGAGGTTATTCAAATTAAGGTTATTGATTTCAGACTACAACTAACTTTCTGACCCATAAATATTACTCTAAGTGTCGACAGTTTTTCGATTAGGCATAAATATTATCTATTTCTTAAATAACAGGTGGTAAATATAGTGAGGTCTTTAAATGAAATTCTGAAAGTCCGAAAAATTCTTTACTACCTTTACTAAATGCCATTCTGGAACACATTAATTATCCTTAATTAATAATTATCCAGCAAGATTGGATTAGTTTGAAGTTGTTCTCAGTCCAAAAGTTTATTTAGAGAGATGGGAAAATTTTTCGATCGCAAATCTATACGATATATTAGCTAATTGGACTTTAGGACCCTTGTATATCTCCAAAAAAAATAATAATTTTAAGCCTTGCACGCATTTAGCATTTTTTATTCCTGAAAGTTATTGAAGAGCGACATTGACGTTCTTCCACTTTTATCATCGTATATGCGCCGACAAGTTTGTTTCAAAGAACAACTTTTGATGTGGTTTTGACTGTCTGATTGCATAGGCCTGGGAATGTCTGGTGTAATCAAGTGATGGCGGCCAAATTCCTTGCAGAAAACCCTATGTGTATATATGTAAATTAGACACTAGGCCTACTACTATTAGTTAGAATGAAAAAAAAATAGCCACCTTACTGGATTTCTTAGATTTTTGAAGACTTTTGGTATGTCATTTAAAATGAAATGAAATGAAATGAAATGAATGGAGTTTTACGTCCTACTTTTCTGCACCATGTGGGCTAATGAAGACGGGCAACGCCATGCAGGGTGCCATGAGGGAAATTTTGTCAGGACAGCAGCATTAGCCTGCTGCTTTTCGATTTCCAACTGTCGAGGGATCTTTAACGTACACAGCTTGTAGCACACGAGGCCTAGGTTTATTGTCCCATCCGAACGACTAGACGCTTTTTCCATGTCAGCCCCTCGTACCTGCATCACTGACAGGGAAATGGTATGTCATTTAGGGGATCTAACTGAAAGAATGTATGTAAAGAAGACACACTTCCACTATACTTGGATTCGTTCTGACTTTTAGTATGCCGTTTAGGATACATTATAACTGATAAACATTGAAGTGAAAATAATTTCATTGCAATTTGTTTGACTTCAAAACATAATATTCCTAGTCTAATTCCGCATCAATGTTCATAATGTTGGGCGTTATAGTAGGCCCAGATGCTTTTATGAAACCACCCACTAAATTCAAAATAAACTTTTAAATTAATTATATGACTATACAATCAATGACTAGTCACAATGAGTGACTGATGTAGAATAAATAAAGCGAACCATCCCTAACATACGCTATGGTACGAAAACATTGACCATGCTATTTCATTCGAAGCAGATATTAGATACAATTCTTTCTTTTTTAGACCATTACAATTTAAACGCAATGAAAATGATAGTAATTGTGTACATTGTCAAACTCCGCCCTCAATTTTCAATAGTCCTCTTTAGTATTAGGTTGTGAATCAACATTAGTTTGTTAAAATACCCCTATCCTGGTCTATTCACCTTAAAAGGCCGTAAAACTGGTTGCTGTAATACTTATTCCCAATCAATGACTGAACCAGATGAGTGGGGACCCATGAGCATAAGTGGGATAGGGACTCTCCCTGGGAATTCTTTTTCAACATATGCTCCCCTGCATTTTTAGACCCCTCAAGTCAATTTAGTTAGATTTGGTTTGGTAGATACTTATACTTTGGTACACTTTTCAAAATTTATTTTTTTTTTCTCTGGTTATGGGACCCTTCAGGGTTTGGGGTCGTAGACTTGGTTCAACCAGACCCTATGGTTGAACCACTGTTTCCAATCCATGACAGTAGGCTACACATTATTATTGAAAGTTGAAAATAAAGGTTTTATATTGAGTTTTTTTTAACTTCGTCATGATGACAAAATTAGAGTGGCAATGTTCACATCGAGACATGAAAAAGTTATCATATATACCAAATGATATTTTTTTCATGAAACACACCACAGAGACGTCTGATCGAAAATTTGAATAATGAAAATTGATGCTATCAGTGTCCCCAATACACATAAAAATTTAGAAAACCTCTTTACAATCCCTTTAATTATTCAATTGTCTTTACATTATAGCTAAGGCAGTACACGGAGGACCAACAACCTATTCGTTCCACAAACTAGACATGATTGTTGCTCCTCATGATGAAGTCACTTGAATGTTTATTGAAGGTCTCCAAACGTTAGTATATTACAGGTAAGTTGTGTATGTCTCCTGTTCCTTAAAATTGGAGTATGTGCCTACAATGTCTCCTTTAAAAAAGAGCTTAACAGTTTGTCATTGTGGTAGAGCCGCTAAAGTAATTGACTACAGTAGTAAAAGTAGGACGTAAAACTCTATTTCATCTGTATCACCTCACACTATTTCTATGTCAAAAAATGTGTTTTGTGTTTCATGGATGTCGGGACAATCTGTGTAGATGCCACCAACAAACCAATTTTTGATCCTCGTCCGGTTATCCATTTATAAATTTGTTCGTCTTCAAAAATAAATGTTACCACGAGTTAGGAATGCCTGTGTTTCATTTACGCATCGAGTGTTGGAGTTTCCATGTTTAAATTTCAAAGATGTTCTTCACAGGAATCAATGAATTAAGATGTATTAATGGTTCTGTCGATAGGCCAATAGGCGGTCACGAGTTTCTTAGGATATGTTTCCTTCAGTGCTTGTGTAGAAGCCAGCTTCAATTCTGGAAAATCAACCTCGAAAGCAATTTATTTTTATCTTTTGCCTGGCCGAGACAAATCGATTTTACAAAACAAAAAAAACTTAAACTTATTACAAACCGGAAATGGTTAATTGTAGATTAGCTCAATATGCTAGGGGACAGTAAATCTTTAATTATACGTCGTCTGGGGATTCGATTTTAGACAACCCGAATAGGGGTCGATATAATTATAGAAACGCCGCAAAGCAGGACTAAGAGGTTATAGATGTCTGGATGTCTCTTTGGATTGTTATATACACACCAGACCATCCTAATATTGAAGAGGAACTTATTATAAAAAACGTTCAGATGTGATCCAACGTAATTTGGTTCGAACAAGCAACTCTATACATTTCGGACTAACTGAATGTCAAGAAGTCAATCCTCTATTAGATAGAGTCAAGATCCACGCCTTTCATTTCTAACAAGGGTTAACACCGGGTAATCCAAATTAATAGAGACATTTTTAAAACATCGATACATTTACCTACTTTGGGAAAAAAAATCATGGCATGGGAAAAGTTGAAAAGCAATTAACTATTATTACATGATAGTCAAACACAGGTCGATCGAATAATGAAATAAGGGTGGGGAGTCAAATAAACAAGAGACGGTTCCCTTTGTTGGAAGACAGACAAGTCGCTGGTTTATAAAGACTGTTTTTAAAGCTGAACTGAAAGAGAAAGTTTAGGAGTAAGAAGCAACATTTGAGAGGGTATCGACCGAAACAGGTAAGGTTATTTTAAGTATTAAAATGAGCTGTTGTGTCATATGTGATCGCGAAGAGGGTCAAAAGAACTTTTCTAGCCTTTGTGTGTACATCGAGAACAATTATAAGTAGGCCTATACGGTTTTTAATTGCGTCATTCCGATTCCCGACATCTTACATGAAAGAGATTGCTTTCTCTGATTCCAAAGTTACACCTCTGTGGTATCTGTGTTGAAAGGTAATGGCGCCACTGTCTTATATATGTATTTGCCCTCTTCATAATTATTAAATACTACAAACGCTCTACCGTGAAAGTGATTAAGCTATCTCCAACATATCACGGTTATGATATATGGAATCTGGTCGTTCAGGACTGCACGTGTTTGTAAACAAAGTCAATATAAAATGAATATTAATTAATTCATTTTCATTTCAGAACAATGAATACCAGCTTGTTTATCATTCTGGCCCTGGTTGTTCCTGGAATATTATCCCAAGATCCTGAAAATCGTAAGTTGTCAGCGGTCTGCATATTTCATTAAAAGTACAGGAAGTCTCAAGGAATGACGAGTTGTCGTTTTAACTTTCAAACGTGGATAATTCTAGACACACATGGATTTGAAAACCCAAATTTAAAAACTTCAAATATGTGATCATTATTACTGATTAGCTTAGCTTAAACTTTCTCCGTTTCTGATACTAAGGTACGATTGGTTAAAAAATGGCTAATCTGTCCCTTTAAATACATATCATTATAGAAACTCGAATGAGTTCAAATAGAATAATCTTGCTTTAATTTAATTTTCAGAATGTAAAGAATTATTAGATGTTGTTGCAGTAGTAGATGGCTCAGATAGTATTTCATACAAAAACTTTGACATTTTGAAACAGTTCCTGAAGACCTTGGTCAATGATTTAAACATAGGTGTTGGTGAAACACGGCTTGGTATCATTCTCTACAGCAGTGATATTACAATAACCATTCCCTTTAATGAAGACAAGGATTATCTACTATACCAGATATCTATTCTCGAACATGCCAGAGATGGCACCAATACAGCCCTGGCTATAGCAGAGATGAACCAAATGATTGATGTTTATGGACGAGATGGTGTACCCAAAGTAGGCATCGTCATTACTGACGGTATTTCAAAGGACCCTAACGCAACTGTTTACCAGGCATCACTAGCTCACCAACGGAATATTGATCTTTTTGCTGTGGGTGTTACCGAAAAGGTCAATCTAGTGGAACTGCAAGGGCTTGCTTCCTCCGATTCCAAAGTATTTATGGTGTCAAAGTTCAGTAACTTAAATACCATTCTGAGGAAAGTTGTTCTCCGTAAATGTCCAGGTAGGTTTAAATATTCCGCACCAGGACGTTGATAAATATTTATATGTCAACGACATCACATGTATGACTTCATTGCAATGTCGGATGCATATTGCATGATGGATATTTCCTTACGTCCATACCATGACTTGTCCTTTCTGAGTACATCATTCTCAAAATATTATGCGAATGATTAGACCATGAAGCATGGAAGCCTTTTCCCATAATTTCTTGTCAAAAGTATGAGGACCTTTCATTGATCATCTACTCACTCCTCACTGTTCTCTCTATATAGTTTTAGATCAATGTAAAGACTATCTAGAAATTGTAGCCTTAGTTGATGGCTCAGACAGTATTTCCCGAGATGATTTTGTCAAACTGAAGTTAGCGTTGGCTAGTTTGGTTGAAGATATTGATGTCAGTGAGAATAAGACGAGATTCGGTTTGATTTTATACAGCAGCGATATCACCGAAGTCATTTCCTTGAGTCATGACAAGAAATATCTCCTGGATCAAATCGCTTTACTACCGCATCCACGAGATGGTACCAAAACCGATTTAGGCTTGGCCCGAATGAATCAGCTATTTCGAGAAGAGGCCAGAGCCGGTGTTCAGAAAATTGGATTGGTGATAACCGATGGTATCTCTAAAGACCGCAATGCAACCCAAAAAGAAGCATATGCACTGAAGACAGATTTGAATGTGAACATGTTCACAGTGGGCATTTCCGACAATATTGATGTAACAGAACTTTCAGAAATAGCAACATTAAACCGAAATATTCTGACCATTGACATATTTGATGATCTTCAGCATATTCTGGAAAATGTCGTGCGCATGTTTTGTCCACGTAAGTAATGTATTATAATTTGATTGGCCAATGGAAATTTTCAAAATCTTGATATTATTTATAATGAAGGCATCATTAATACAAAATTTTATAAGGCATACAAGTTCACATGAATTAGGCGCAGACTTAGAAAGCTAAAGCACCGCAATGCTTCTATGTATTTGTGTATGTATATTCATGAAATTTATTTCCATTCACAGTACCAACATGTACATCGGCACTAGATGTTCTAACCGTAGTTGATGGTTCCGACAGTATATCAGCAGAAGAATTTAAAGAACTTAAAGATACATTGAAGAACCTTGTATTAGATTTGGATATAGGACAGAGTGGGGCAAGATTTGGTTTAATATTATACAGCAGTAATATAACGGCTGTTATCACCTTTACCAACAATAAGAATTTGATACTGTCTGAAATCGATTCTCTTGACCAGCCTAGAGACGGAACAGAAACTGCTTTGGCTATTCAGGAAATGATTAAAATGTTTACCAAATTGGGGAGAAGCTCATTTCAGAGGATAGGTATCGTTATAACTGACGGTATGTCCAAGGATCCCAGCCAGACCAAGCAGATTGCCCAAGAGGCTAAAAGGGAAGGCATCAACATGTTTGCTGTGGGTGTTGGTAATAGAATTCATCAACAAGAACTGAAAGATATCGCCAGCAATAATCAAGTCTTCATTTCCGATAGTTTCTTGGAGCTAAGTCGAAGTTTAATGGATGTTGTAAGGAAGGCTTGTCCGGGTGAGTTGATTAATATGTATACTGACATTCTTGAATTTGGATTTAAAACTGCGCACCAAAGATGCTCGGGTACTAATATGAAATGAACAACTTTAACGCCTTATAGTAAGATTTCCTTGGTAGATCATTTTCTTTGGCTAAGATCATGCTATATCTAGCAAAATAACTCAAAGTCATATGTGCGGGTTACCTGTGTGTGTAGATTTTGTTATTGCAAGTTGTATAATAACAGAGTATTTCTATTTATTCCAGATCCCAATCTGACAACCAGTCCGACTGTCATTTACAGCACAGACACCGTGACCCCAACAATAAAGATATCATCATCCACGACCGGATCAACAAGTGGACCTTCGACAACAATAGCGTCAACTTCCTCTACCGCTTCGGGAAGCACTACTGAGTCAACAGCTTCTCCGCCTTCGTCGCTCTCTCCCGTCATATCTTCATCGACCACATCAGTGTACACCACTTCCGAGTCTTCAACTAGTCCTTCTCAGTCCACAACTAGCCCTTCTCAGTCTACAACTAGTCCTTCTCCATCTACAACCAGTCTTTCTGAATCCACAACAAGCCAGTCCCAGTCTACAATAATTCCTTTTCGAGTCCGTCTCGATCCACAACGAGTCCGTCTCGATCCACAACGAGTCCGTCTGATCTATTATACAACGAGTCTATCACAGTCTACAGAAAGTCCCTCTCAATCCACAGCGAGTCCGTCTGATTATACAACAAGTCCGTCTCAATCCATAGTGAGTCAGTCTCAATCCACAACAAGTCCGCCTCAGTCCACCACGAGTCCTTCTCAGTCTACAGCAAGTCTTTCTCAGTCTACGAGTCCTTCTCAGTCTACATCGAGTCTTTCTCAATCTACATCGAGTCTTTCTCAATCTACAACGAGTCCTTCACAGTCTACAACGAGTCCTTCTCAGTCTACAACGACTCTTTCTCAATCTACGAGTCCTTCTCAGTCTACATCGAGTCTTTCTCAGTCTACAACGAGTCCTTTACAGTCTACAACGAGTCCTTCTCAGTCTACAATGAGTCTTTCTCAGTCTACATCGAGTCTTTCTCAATCTACAACGAGTACTTTACAGTCTACAACGAGTCCTTCTCAGTCTACAACGAGTCTTTCTCAGTCTACAACAAGTCGACCAGGCTCTACAACTCTAAATATCATCAGAATTAGTGCGACTCCATCTTTTCCATCCTACGTGTGCGATGGTTGTCTCTATAAGAATGGAGTGTATTTAAAAGATCACCCAACTGACTGCAACAAGTTTTTACAATGTAACCAGAAATACGATGGTTCCTATGACGTAATAGTTAAAGATTGTCCACAAGGGCTGTTTTGGGATCAAGATCTTCTGTTGTGTAATTACCCAGAAAATACGAATTGCACAAAAGGTATGTTTTAATTTATCATATTTTTTTTTAAAGAGGCGGGCTTATTTCATAATATTTTGTTAGTGATATTAACACCTCACTTCTAGATGAAGTCTTTAAACGAAATGTTAAGTTTTTGGTGCGAAATTTGTATTTAGGACTTGACATACTGTAGCTGAAAAGGCATAACTGTAATGCTCTTAATTCTTACATAATACTAGGATATCAATTGCTCACAACGGTTGAATTTTAAACTTAAGATTTAAGATTTTTTTCAGCTTTAACTTTATCATTAAAATATATTCATCGCAAAATAAAAAAAGGTGGGACCAAACAATAGCAAAGTATCTACATGAATACCAAGAAACTGTAATGTATTATTTAGTTATTCATTATTCTTTATTGATATCTATTTAGATCCCTGTTATACCTTAGCTGATTTTAGTACATACAGCGATATAGAAAACAACTGTCGGCAATATTTCAAGTGTGTAAATGGTATTTCCTATTTGGAGTGCTGTGAATCTGGATATGGGTTTGATAAGGTCACCAGGATGTGTAGTCCAAGTACCACCTGTACTGAAGCTTGTCCCTCAGCATACGTCATGGATGGTAAGTTAAATTTCAGTATCAACTATTGATGTGGTAAGTCATTAGTAGAACAAAAGTAAAATTAGGAAGAAGAATCATCAGACCTGGTAGGATGGTCCTTTAAGGCAACGAAGCTGAATATTATTTTTTATTCCCCTTCAGACATTGTGTGTTGGATGGTTAACTTTAAGTCTGACAATGATATTCTCAGCTGCAATGTTAAATGATTGGCAATATAGTAGTGTATGCCAAGTTCATTAAGAACATTCGTGCCCTGTGAACTCCCCCTGAAATGGCAGATAAAACCGAATATCACATTATTACTTGCTATAATTTTTTAACATTATTTCAGTGTGCGACAAAAGGGCTGTTGTTGGCAATGCTTTGGTATTTGAACAGAAAATCCCATCATTCGGCTGGATAAGGATGAACTGTGCTCTAGGAACTGCATTTAATGAAACGGCTTGCTATTGTTCATCGTTTGTGGATGTTGGATATTTGATACCAGTTTCATCAGGACCCACTCCATCAAATGGTAAGTATTATATTTAGCCTTCAGTAGCTCAACTCATGAGTAGGGGTCCATGGAATTAAGTGAGTTGGGGCCCCTCCGATGGAATTATTTTTCACATACGCTCTCCTGCATTATGAGACCCCTCCGTAAGTCAATTTTACGGTTGTTAAGAAGATTTTTAGTCTAGTTAATGCTTTTCATTCATTTATATATTGCTGGTTGCTTGACTGTTGGCCTTAGGATTATCAGCTGATATTTAACAATTATATTGTGCTTAGATTCATACTAATTCAATGAATAATGGTATTGTAAGGACTGGTTGAATGATTCCTGCTGTAAGTCAGTTAGAAACTTGAAGATTTAAAATATTTTGACTAACCAAGATCCCTATTTAGACGTGCCTTGACAATATGAGTCGTCATAATATATTATTGTCAACCTTTTGTCAAAAGAGAGAATTTTTTGCAGTAATTCCCCTTGGTCTCCAGAATAGGGCGTTTTTCGTGCATTTCGGTATGCTTTCGTTTGAGTACTCCTTGGTTTGTCTACCCAATATCACCCTCTTTCTTTGAGTTGCCATACCTTTAACTTGATATGATTTTCATGTAAATTTAGCTACCTATTTTTTCAGTTTGTACACCTGAACTGTATTTACCATTTGACAATAACACAAGAGATCAATCTGGAAATGGTTTCTACGTTCAAAATAATGGTGTGGTGGTCGAGGACGGGGTAGCTTATTTCGATGGTAACAGTTCTTTAAGAATACCAAGGTTTACCAATGTTGATTTTGGAACGAAGTTAAGAATCACGTTTAAGTATAAAGTTGATGGCATCAGGTCCACGCCACAAGCCTTGGTCACTAACAGTGATTGTGGAGAAGAAGGATCACTATATATTGTGAGTGATCCAGATCAGGTGACATTCAGTACCCGAACAGACAATTTGAACTCGCCTTTACCAGCTTTAACAACATTATCTTCGGTAAGTCTGGTAACAAATGTTAGAATATTATGATATGTCAGTTGATACAGTGAACATACATGTATAATCTTTTATTTTGGTAAATTTTAAAAAAAGCTTTTAAAGGTTGCTGCCCTGGCGTAGCCCGTGGAGCAGGAATTTGTCTCCACCTACGGGCTCAAATACACTGGGGCCTTATCAATGACTTACAGATTTACAGAGGGGTCTCAGAATGTAGAAGAGCATGTATTTAAAAAAAATGATGCCCATCTAATTAAGCCACTGCCCTCTACTCAAACAGAAGTAAACATTTCCACTTTCTCTCTCATTCTGAATAATCAAATCTCCCTAATTTCAGTCTGAATGGAATGAAGTAGAGTTTAAGTATGATAATGGTGTGTTTACAGGAACTGTAAACGGTGCTTCTAATACACAGATTATTATGGGTAAGCTTTAAGTTTTCTCTGTCATTTTATTCAAATTGTAAATCTCGTTTTAAACTAACCCTTGATCGCTTTGTTATCCTCAAATAATTTTTCTGTTCAAAACCCATTCCATGACCAATGATATACAATGCCGAGCTATTAAGGCTTTCGGCTTATACCTTGACTCCATTAGCCGCCTTTCTTGTGTCATTGAATGCAGCTATTTGAATGGATTGTACGCCAGCGAATACATCCAATTTTTGCCCATTTTGACTTTTACTTGGGCGACAACACGAATAAAAAATCTACTTATATTCATTAATTATTGATTATTTCAGGTTCGATTAAAAGAAATCATTATGCCTTACAAATTGGTCGAGGTGATCAGTTCTCTAATTTTAAAGGTTGGATCGACGAGGTTCGTATCTGTTATGTTATGTGCTATATAGCCCGTTTGGTGGTGATGCTCTATAATGTCATTTCATTTCATTTTTCGACTGAATAATCTTGATTGTATCTGATTCGGCAGGGTGCGAAATTTTGTCATCTTCAATGATTTGATTGACAAATAGATTGTTGTAACTAAACGCCTTATGATGCCTTACTGTCAGAAGGTGATTTTGCTGTTGCAATTCTAATTACATGATCTTAAATGCTTACAATTGTCCAATTGTTTGTAGTTAGAGTTTCATCTCGTGCGTTTTTATCTAACTTGGCAGCACTGTCCTGTCACTGTGTTAACTTGCAGTGAGCAATGTATGAAAATCCATATAATCTACATTGCCAATGTTCTTGTAATCATTCTTTCAAGTTGTGCCAGTTGGATGGTAGGCCTAGTGGGTTATTTTTTACAATACGAATTCCCCATGCCCCACACTGTTTTGTGTCTCAAAACACTGCAATATCTGTAATTACATTCTACTTTTCCATTTCAGGTTTACGTGTATATGTGTTAGGTGGTGAATTTTTATTTGTTAATAATATTGTTTTTAATAATAGTAGATGATTATGCAGAGTGTGTAATTAAAGTTTACACTTGTGATTGTCTTATCTATCCTATAATTATATTTCCCTTGAAATAAAAAATGATTCAACCCCTCCCCTCTCCCCTAGAAATAAGTCGAGAAAAATAGGCCATTAACTATGGCATCTCTATTGCTACAATAATTGTATGAAATAACTTTAATCGATTTAATTAAATATAGTCGATGAAATAAACCAAAAGAAAAATAAACAAAAAGGTTGTAATATTCGATAATTCGAGAAGACTTATCTCCCTTGTTTAGACCATACTATTTTGTTACAGAGGTTGTTAGATTGCACGTGGTTATCGAGACCATGTATACAACTTTAGGAATCCAAAATTCCCTTTTACAAAACAGTATAATCCAATAATTGATTTCACGCTAGTAGGAAGTTCCAAAATGATCAACAATGAAGAGTGAAAACGTGGAATGTTTTGTTGTTAAAAGTGAAATTAGAATAACAAGTGTGGGATATAAGTGTATTTCTTAGCAACGTAACGATGTTTCTGCAGTATCGGTAAGTTTGATTTATAGACTTCCGAGCGTGTAATAGAAAACATTCAAAATACATTGTCCTTTGCGAATACGAATTGACAACAATGTTTTCAGAATGACACTGCCACTGTTGTATGTTCATGGTTCGATGATTCTTGCAAACTTTCGTGTAATCGTGTAAACTTTTTTTTGGAACGTTTATATCTACAAAGGACAATTTTCCAAGCCAAAATGTCGGATATGACAAAGTCACAACCCATAAACTCCATGTAATAGTCGATACATAAGACCTTATTAATAATAACTACGAATTAAAAGCAAACTTTATTGCCATTTGCAAATGATACATGAATAGTGAGAAAATACATCTGTAAAAGTTTTATATTATTTTGGGGAAAAACATGGAAAGTGTTTGACGGACCACTTTATGCTGCACACAAATAAACAGAGAGCTGAAAAAAAATTATAGTACATTATAAAAGTCCAATATTGGTATGTGACGTTTAGAATAGTGATGATTTACATCGCTTAAACCTAGGCCACTATGGCCAGCTATAACGACGCTCTGCAATAAACTTAAATCGGAGAGGTTTAATCAGATTGGACAATAAATGGAGAACGCGTAAAATTTTATCGGTGTAACATGCCCCAAGTTATTATAGATGACTATATCAAATATAAATTTGACTAGCCCAAAGGCCCAGGAAAACAGACCAAATATCTAAATGCAGAGACACTTGCATGTGGAATTTCGCCAGTCATGATTTCTGAATTAATATACATACCTCATCAATCCAACCTTTGAAGTTATCGAAACCATCACCTCTACCAATCTGTAAACTGCAATGTTTTCTTTTGATGATTCCTAAAAAATTTTAAAAAAAATTATAAATTTTACTTTTTTCCATTCTGTATGCCTAACTATTCAACCCAAATTCCCCAATAAAAGGGAGACTATAATCAAATGGTCCATAATTTTTCGATACATTAGTTTACCCAAAACCACATCTTCTTTAACTATCTTAATGAGATTCGTGTGTAACCAACCATATGGCGTTTAACACAAATTAAAGTGACTTTTTCGATGTTGAACGAAATAGAAGTAATGAAATAATCATCATCAACATAACTTACCATCAACTATGGTATTAGCTTGTCTACCATTAACAGCTGATATTAATTCACCATCAACTACCTTATATTCTACTTCATTCCAATCAGAAGACTGAAAATACATTGAGAGAGCATGCGTTTAACAGGTATTTTTCTCTGATGACCGACGAACACGACGTATGGCTTTTTCAGAATGAAAAAATTCTCTGGAAAGCAAATAAGGTATCCCTTCAGTACAACCTCCCTCAAAACCGTATTTTTATTCGGGCAAATGAAACGACAACAAAGCATTAGAAGTTTGTATTTTAAATGTTCCCCCTTGCCCTATTTTAACTTATATTGCGCTATGGTCTTGTTACTTGTGTTATTTTCTGCCATTTGAGGCGTTTTGGTTCCCCAAAGTCCACAAAGTCTTTAATTGTTTTTCCAATGGTGTATAAAAATAAAGGAATCAGTGACTTCTTAATGTTAACTTACCGAAGCAATGGTAGCAGATTTTTCATCAGCACTGTCAGCAGAAATAAGACCCAATACTGTCTGACTCTGTTCAGCTACTATATAAATAGATTGCTTCTCTCCACAATCACCATTAGTTACCAGAGCTTCTTGTCCAGTAGCAGCACCATCCAACTTATACTTCATCTTGATTGTCACCGTCTTACGGAAATCAACATTGGCGAAGCGTGGGATCCTCAGAAAACTTTGACCGTCGAAATAAGCAACTCCACTTTCTACGACGACTCCGTTGTTTTGTACATAATTGAAATTGCCTGATTCGTCATACGTTCCAGAATCAAATGAAAGTTGAACTGATGGTTTACATTCAGCGTCTAAAATTAAAATAGCGTTAACTACATGTCAAAGTGTTTGCGGTGCGACTTATTCCTTTTTCATGAACATTAGTTGAAATGTGTACTGCAACTATTATAAATTTGTAAGCCTTTATTACAATTTGACGGCGTCGTTAAGTTGCCAGTGGCATAACATAGAGTAGGAGGTTAGTGGGCCTGAGAACCAGGGCTTGCACGGCTTCTTACCTCTCAAATTTATCATAGCTGAGTGTGTATATACGCCCCCCCCCTCCCCCTCTCCCCGGCCCCCTTTTGTCCCTTTTCAGGACATCCAACTAATGATTTACTGAAACACCACTGTGACGTATTGCAGTAATACTAGTACCTCGTGCTGCTGGCGGTGGGGGTGTATTAACATAATCTTCATCATATATACCACATTTACACTCTTCTTGACTATACAGAGCACCAAGTGGACATGACATTACTATCCATTCATCTCCAACAGCTTGTTCGTAAGAGTGTTTATCTGCTATTTCTCTTCTCGTACAACCTGGAACAAAGGGGGAATTGTCAAAAGCATTATTGGTGTAACAGGGGTTAAGTTAGATGTAAAGAAGCCTCTCGGTATCATCTACACTATGTACAAAATTTCGAACGCATACGACCTTCCATGCATGAAATTAATTGTTCCTGTATAATTACGGCCACGTTTCTCGAAAAAATTGACTTTGATGAAAATCCGCCATGGAAATTTTTAGTAGTTTTGGTTATTTATTTATCAATTACCTTCCTCTGGATTACCCCATTTACACGAATCAACACAGGCTGAATTGGATTCACATTTGCCAGCTGCAGCATTGAAGGCATAGCCTGGTAGACAACACTTCTCAAAAGACACACTATTAAAACACGTATAATATTCTCTACAGTTGGTAGGATGAGCTATATCACCATCGGGTTTGGAATAACATGGATCTGAAAATAAATTTGTAAAATTCTCTTAACGCCATGTTGTGAAGACAAGTTCAATTGAAAAGCTGAAACAATGGTCATCCTACAGCCTGAACTTTAAGCTCCTGTGTCCAAGTCCAAATATTTAGCTTGAACTGACTGTTACAGACAAGTGACTTCACCTCGAGATCCCCTTGTTTATATAATGTTTATTCGTGAGTGTGCTGTTTTGGAATGTTAAATTTTTACTTTAGCCTGACGATTGACGTGTCTGTCCAAAAGTACCTTTGACATTTGTCACTTCGACCGGGACATGGTTGTGTTTACAAATGCTGTCGCCTTTTTTTTAATTTGAGTGAACACCAGTCAAATAATAGATGACGTACATGGCATTTGCTTTTTAAGCTTAAGGAATTTTGTTATTTTGTCTCATCTAAATAATGACAAAAAAATCTTTTTGAATCGTTTTGATAATTAGTGCGACCTTGTATCGTTAAATTCATTTTTTAGTGTTTTGATGATTTATGCATTTAAACCTCTTTACAAAATGTTTGCTTTACAAATTGAATTTGGATCAACGGAATACCCATATAAAACAATACTAAACTACAAGCTTGTTGGGTCACATGGAAAAATGTGTTTAATGCACATTATTGAGAATCCAAAATCAAATTTTGAATGCTCGTAAATGAAATTATTGAACTCGTCAAATACTACTGTAGGTAACTCTTGTGCTTTCTTGATCTGTAGTAATTTTAGAATAACAAATGTTCATTACCTTCGGTACAGTCCACTTCAGAGGCATAATTACACGTCAGTTTATCTTGGTCCCAAAAAAGCCCAGCAGGACAATCTTTAAGAATAGTACTGATTAACATCTCAAGATTAAAGATACATTGGATGAACTTCTGGCAGCTACCAGCTACAGAGTTGAAGCCAACGCCATTACGCATGGTGCAATTGTCACAGAGACCCAATGGATCAATGACTGAAGGGTCTACGATTGGTCCCGATGGTCCACTCGTGGGATAAAGTCGATCGTTTCTTTTCTTGGTCGTCCAACTATCACCATTGTTGCCATTGTTGTTAGAATTTGGATCTCTGTTTGTCCCTTGACCATTGTTGTTAGAATTAGGATCTCTGTTTGTCCCTTGACCATTGTTGTTAGAATTGGGATCTCTGTTTGTCCATTGACCATTGTTGTTAGTATTGGGATCTCTGTTTGTCCATTGACCATTGTTGTTAGAATTGGGATCTCTGTTTGTCCCTTGACCATTGTTGTTAGAATTGGGATCTCTGTTTGTCCATTGACCATTGTTGTTAGAATTGGGATCTCTGTTTGTCCATTGACCATTGTTGTTAGAATTGGGATCTCTGGTTGCCCATTGACCATTGTTGTTAGAATTGGGATCTCTGTTTGTCCATTGACCATTATTGTTAGAATTGGGATCTCTGTTTGTCCATTGACCATTGTTGTTAGAATTGGGATCTCTGTTGGTCCATTGACCATTGTTGTTAGAATTGGGATCTCTGTTTGTCCATTGACCATTGTTAGAATTGGGTTGACCAGTTGCTGATTGACCATTGTTAGAATCTGCAATAGAATATCAATTCAATTAGAACGTTTTTCGTGTTGCGACAAAGCTTCGTCCAAACATGAACAAAAATAAAATGTGCCAATTTTTTTTGCTCAATATGATTAATATTTAATATTGAGTGTTAAAGAAGATACTCCTAAGTGTAAAATATATTCTTGTGTCAATAATAAAGATAGATGTGCAATTTAATCCATAATATTTGACATAATCGAAAACAGTCAAACACCGTAAAGCTATAATTGATAATGGATGCCCGTGGATGATCAGTTATATCATCGCTTTTTCTAAAAGATGATTACTTCGGCTGTAAGCAAAAAAAAAATGGTTATGGATGCTCACAGCTACAGAAAATTGTGCCTAACACAATGACAGTTAATTTAAACTCAATATACCATAACATAATGGGGACGTTTCGTTACTGTCAACAGCAAATCGTACCATTAAACGTCATAAATTAATGCCACGAACATGTAACATATCTGAAGTTGAGCATCACGAAACTAGAGCGCCCACACAGTGCTGCAAAGGGATTGTAAGTTCTGTGGTTTTCGTGTGTGGAATTACGACTGGTAGTTTTATTTTGAAATTGTCAAAATGACATTAAAAAAGCATACGAGCATATGAAAACGAAAACTGCCAGAACAGTGTATCGTTTCTGTCGAAGGTCCTTCACATTTTACTGTATAAATATTACGACATTAAGGACATGCGGATAATGCTGTATAAAAAAATCTCATTCTCGCTTTGATAATCTAGATCCCAGAAATACTAACCTCCGCAAGCTTTTCGTACATCTTCCATTACAAGCTTACTAAGTTCTTTAAAATCTTCCAAAACTAAGGATTTGTCAATGTCAGACGCAATGGAAACTAATTCTGTGTCCTGTTTTTTGTCAGTAATACCAATGGAGAAGACGTTTATTCCCATATTCTTGGCTTCGTCCGCGTGTATAATGGTTTGGGTTGAGTTCTTAGAGTAACCATCAGTTATAACGACTATTATTTTTGGAACACCCTGTCTACCACTAATGTTCATCAAAGCATTTGTTTTTTCAAGAGCTGCGGCGGTATCGGTACCATCTCTCGGCTGTTCTAAACTGTCAATTTGGGACAAGAGATCGGCTTTGTTATGGGTAAAATCAATGACATTGCTAACATTAGAACTGAACAGTACCAAAGAAAATCGTGACAGGGGACTCTCTAAGCTCAGTTCTTGGACGAACTCCTTAACTGCATTTTTGACTGACTCAAATTCTGTGTGTGAGATGCTGTCGGAGCCATCCACAACCGTTACTACATCCATATAGTCCTTGCAACCAATATCTGTAAGCATAATTCAATAAGGCAACGTCAGTCTGTCGCAGAGATCAAACAGTCAAAATATTATATCAACGGGTTACCTTGAGTATTCGTAGGATATTTAAAAGTTGTCTGTCTATGAAGAAATTTCAAGGCAACACTGGTCCTTTTCGGGTTGTCCGACTCGATACTGGACGATGTTCGAACGGGTCTTGTAGATTAGATGGTGTCCCTTGTCTTTACAAAAGTTCTCGCCGAAGGAAAGACTATTCTATTGACAATGGACTAACTTACCTCCACAACTTTGTATAAAACCTTTCAGATGGTTATAGATTTCAGAAATTGTTTCCAAAGACAAAACTCGGTCATTTGAAGATGCGATAATCTGAAGTTCTTCCATATTGATATCCATACTGGTTCCGATAGAAAACATGTTGATTTCTGTACGGATCGACTCTCTAGCAGCAGTTGATGTAGCGACTTTGTTCTTAGAAATACCATCCGTAAACACAATACCAACTTTAGCGGCATGTGGTCGACCTTCCATCCTAAACATTTTGTTCATTTCCTCAAGACCGAGATGAGTTTGGGTACCTTCCATGGGTTGTTCTAAAGCTCGAATACGATTGATAAGGTCCATTTCGTTGTTGGAAAATGGAAGGACTGCGGACACTGAAGAACTGTACAGGACTACTCCAAATCTTGAATCATGATATTGTAATCGAAGTGATCTGATGAGCTGTTCAAGAGCTATTTTCACTTGGGTGAATTTCTCATCCGTAATACTTTCTGATCCGTCCAAAACAGCTATCACATCTAATGGTGTTTCTTTACAACCTGTTGAAAAACGAAGCACATTGTACCGAAGCGAAGCGGAAAGAATAATGTAAATATTTAATTTTCGACATGCGTTCTGCTAAGGCGATAAAATCCTTCGTTAACTCTGAATGATCTTGAAGTGATATTCACGGTGCCAGCAAACAGCGACATAGCATATAGGCTTCAAATTCCCAGCCACTCATATATCAACCGTGACAGAGCAAAAGCAAAGCGAAGCTCTCCCTAAAGAATTTTGCAAAGAAGCGTTAACTTACCATTTTGTAAAGGAGATGTCAAGCTTTGATGCATCACACCACATATAACCATTATACTTATTGCTACTAAATTCATCTTGCCCATTCCTGACGAAAACAAAATGAAGTTTTATTTCCTACTATTCTGCATCTTTTAGGGGTAATAATGACGTGTGGACGGTTACTAATAAACCTCAAAATTTTGAAAATGTAATACATTGTTAATAACACATTGATTTGGTACTTCTACAAGTGAGCTTTAAACCAAACACATTGACATCAGATGTAAATTATTTTATTTAGGTGCTATCCATCTTGGTACCAGCTTTCGATTCCAAAATTGATTCCATATTCCAGTGTTCAACGCTGAGATGAACTTCATTAGTTAATACTTGCATATAACTAGCATGTAATGCCACATGAATCCGAAGCCACAAAATTGTAGTAACTACTTACCGAAATGATTCCCTTTGACACCAAGAATTAAATGGACGATTTGATTCACAGTATAACTATGTATTCTACAGAACGGATTAATTTGAAATAATTTAGAATTTCTCAAGCCTATCCTACCATGTGATGCAATTGGTTCAAATATTTATCCAAATTACATATTAGACAACCGAGAAATTAATCTATCTGGTTTCCAAATTTTAGAAAAAAAAAGTGTTTTTAGATGTCAAAAATTCTGACTTCTATATAATGATGGATTAACATATTTAACAGTAGACTAACAGATTTGTCAATATTGGACTAGGTAATTCATAGTCCGAAACTAATCAATTTAGCCACATGTACTGGGACAGTCGGGTAGATGATTTTATTAGCACTTATTGGAATCGTGGTCTTTCGTCCTGGCAATAAGTCTGGATAGGTTTTCATTATATTTAAGCTGAGTTTTCAATCATATATTCTAACACGTTTTTCATGTTTTGTGTTTTTTTGGTGGTTTTAGAACCTATTGTAGCTCGATTTTCACGTCTTCTGACAATAATTCTAGCTTAATTTTGACCCTATATCTATTCTAGCTTGGATTTTATGTCGTCAATTTTAAGCTTTTTCTTGCATAACTAGTATCTAAGCTGACAATGTTTTCAAATCTAGCGCCCACTTTACTTTTTCTAGCTCAATTTTTTAAATTTATCGCATATCAGAAACAACTGTTTGTATCAGAAATTATTGCCTATATAAACTTGAATGATCTTTTAATATGGTACGCTCAGATTGCCTACAGTTCAGCATAGCCAGTGTTTGAACTAATATGCAATATGCCATTTACAGTTATACATTTCGCAAGTATAGCTCACCCCTTTAAGATGCCAATGTTATAGCAAGCTTACATTACAGACCCCCTTCCTCAGTTATAAATGGTCTCTATACTCGTGCATGTTTCGGACTAGATAAATGAAGGTGTAACCATTAGACAATTGGATATTAGATTAGTTTCAGCACGGTTTCATTGAAATTATGTCAATACAAAACATATTTCAGATGCTTTTTGTTTTCAATTTAACAGACATCATCCTGCAAGCTAAACCCTGTTAATACCTGTTTTTATTAACGTGTGTTTTTAATGTTAATGTTCAGCAGTCAAATTTACATATATTAGGTAATGCCAGAATATTTGATGTCCCGAAGTAAATTGGCTGACTGTGAAATACCAGATGATGTAAAAATGACTGAAAAAACATCAATTTATGATTTTCATGAGAGGAGAGCTGATTTCCAAAGCCAAAAAAATTTCCAGAGTTTGCTTAATTACGAAAGTTGGTTTGAAAGCGGAACTCGTACAAATAATTAAAGCAAGGGTTCATGTTGTCTAACTCGCACACATTTGATAAACATAAAGATGACCTATTCGAAGTGGATACTGTGTTAATGATGTTAGATGGCTAATATAAATTAGAAGGGTCAATATTGTATAATCTGTTAATCCTATTATCAATATTCAATATTGACATGGTTTATGTGTAATTCAAATGCAGGAGTGTCCTTTTCAAATTGTTAAAAAAAAATTGTCAAAATATAATGTTTAGCATTCATCAATTGATACTAATGTGAGAAATTCTCTAAAAAGTGTCTCATTTCACACATCAATCTAACCAATCTGTTGATCTTTTGCATATAGAATGCATCATACTATCCATTTAAATCAGTTGAGTTTGTACAGAATACAAACACTGTACACAGTTGAATGTAGAGATCATCAATCTATGTAATCAGTTGATCCACTGCTATCAGTTGAGTGCAGAGTAATCATTGTAATCAGTTGAGTACAGAGTTTAGCTCAGCATTTATTGTAATCAGTTGAGTACAGAGTTTAGCTCAGCATTTATTGTAATCAGTTGAGTATAGAGTTTAGCTCAGCATTTATTGTAATCAGTTTCAGTACAGACTTTAGATAAGCCTTCATTGTAATCAGTTGGGTACAGAGTTTAGCTAAACCTTCATTGTAATCAGTTGAGTGTAGAGTTTAGCTCAGAACTCATAGTAATACATTTGGTAATATAGCTCAGCCTTCACTGTATCAGTTGAGTAAAGAAGAGAACTCAGAATGCATCGTAATCAGTTGGGTACAGAATATAGCTGTGCAATCATTGTAATCAAATGAGTACAGAAGTGAATTCAGAATGCATTTGTATTTGTAGGGTACAGAATATAGCTCAGTAATCTGTAATCAGTTCAGTAAAGAAAAAAACTCAAAATAGAAAATGGTACAATAAACCTTGCTAACTAAGCAAGTTGGAGATCCATTAACAGTTGGAATTTGAATACAGTTTTTTCGTGTTCAATATCATGAAATTCTTTTTTTAAAAAACACATAAAGATATAACATTTTTTATTTTCAAGTATCATCTTGATGATTTGGTTCGTTTTCATTCTGAAGTTTTTCTTCGTCTTTCTTTCGTTGATCCTCTCTTTCAACATGTTTGCTGGTCTCTTCTATAAGCTGAGCTTCTATTTGTCTTAATTCCATGTCTGCATTTACTGTTAACAGTTTTAAATTCTCTATTTCTCTCTGTGAGCTATACAGTCTTTCCCCAGCACTAACACTTGCATATTCAGCACCTTTTGATAAATTGAAATGAAATTTAACAATTCTGCATCTTGTTGTGGAAGGTCAGTGTTGTTTTTCCTTTTTGCAATTTTATACCAGTTTGATTCACTTAAATCAAGATGTATCAAAGTTCACATTATGATTAAAGTGAAGATGTTCTACAATTCACAGGGTAGACAATCATACATGTATTTTGAAGTATTTTATAACATAGTCATCATGAAAATAAGAAATTTTCTTAGAAGTAATAAAGCAAGTTACTTCTATTGATAATTATGAAAAAAAAAATTGACTGAACAAGATAAACAAAACAAAATATTGTAAATCTGTGTACAACAGAAGAATAATTTTAGCATGATTCTTCCTTGCTTTCACTCATATAAGACACGTACAGTATGTTTAATCAGAAATCTACCTACCTGCAGCATAAGCCACCTCAGCAGAAACATCCATTAATTTCTCTACACTGGTATACAGTAGCTCCAATTCCTATAAAAATTAGGGCAGGTGGATGACTTTCATGACCTGAATCCATTGGTAAAGTTTTGAATGACTAACTAATTTCTAGATACTATGATTGCAGACAGTTCCCCATTAGTTGCAGCAAGTATAAAAAGAACCTAAATGATAAAGCTTTTGGATATTTACCAATCTTTTCTTCTTTATTTCTTGTAAATCCCCTCTGCTTTGAAGAATAATATCCCATATTAGTTGTTCTTCATGTGGTTTATTCAAGGCTGATATTTTATACTTCAATATATCTGTCAGTTTATACACAGCCTGTACAATATATAATATAATATGCAGGCTCGTTATTACACACAGGCACAACACTATAATTATAAGACTAAACAGCCCAATATTAAAGGGACATGTTAATTTGAGTCTTGAATATATGTAATAGTCTTCAGTAGTACTAGAAACCTACAAAAATCTATTAAGATGTCTTGATATTTACACATTTTTTATGTTTTAAAAACAAATTAGAAGTAAAAATGGAAAAGAATGCAAATGTTGGCTGTATCCAGACTATTTTAACATTCTCAAATGTGTTTATTAACGCTTGCAAAACTTTTAGGTTATTACCGATAATTTTTACCAGAACATATTTTGAAAACCAAAAAGTCTTTTTGCAATCATTTGTTAGATAAGGAGCAGTAACTTATCAAGAAGAACCAACCTGAATATATTGCTTCTCTATTTCTATTAGAGCTGTGGTGGTTTGAGTTAAAATAGAAGTAGCAGCATCAACAGCCCATACACTTCCATTTCTTATAAGAGCACTTGATGATAAATCTTTGTTCTCCTTATCAGATTCCTTTTTCTGGAAATGATATGATCAATATTAGGACCATGATCAATATTAATTAATTGCAAATAACCACACCACAGGATCGGTGATGCAAAAATAATTATATTCAACGACATTCTCTAGTAATAAGCGATTCAATTTATAGATGAAATGTAACCTTTCAACTTGATTTTGACAGTATTTTATTTCTATTATACAGAGTATAAATAAGGTTTCGGAAACAAGCCTAGGCTTATGTTAATCTGTTTTTCAACTTTAAGAACCATTGACATGTCATAATTATAGAGACATATAGTAGACCTAGGCCCCCTATAGAGATATGAGATGTATAGGTTGCACAGCCTGAAGGCTGCAGTGATTTCCTCTCAAATTGTGTCCATTTCTCTCTATTTCGTTATTGAAATTGGGTAGGCGTAGGCTTACAGTCGAGTAACTTAATTTCGTGGAAACCTATTATTCGTGGATTTCCGGAAAGGATTAACAATTTACATGAACGACCTTGTGCGACCTCCGCATTAGTTTGTTTTGATAAACATGGGTTTTCTCTACTTCTCTTTTCTCATTCTAGTAGAATGAATCCAGTAGAATCAAAATGTAATAATGTATACTTTGACAAATACAAAATGGCGGATTTCACTTATTACCAAACGTCACCATTTTTTATCCGCCGAATTTCCTTATAATCCCTAGCCGTAATCGGAATTCCAAGTGTCGTTTGCTAGAATATATTCCAACGAATGAAGTCACGTGATCAACTAGCGGATTCCGTGTCAGCAGAAAATTTCTATGGAACACAAAGTGGACCATATTCTTATATTGTTTCAGTGACTTTTAGCAATAAATCACGCTACGTATCATATTTTGTCAGTCACTATTTTTTTTTTAAAACGTGGTTCTTTGAAGGAATTGTCACTAGCTATAATGAATTGATATTAAAGATAAATACTAAGAGAAGTTAATTATACCACCCGGTATCCATACAACGTGTTTTTCAAGACTTATTTATAGATCAAACATTGTACACGAAAATAGGTGACGCATTCTGCCGCTGTTGCCGAGTTGGTTGCTCATGAAATATGGGTGTAAGTGAAGGATTCATAAAGAAAATCGAAATAATCCAATTTTAATTATTTTGTAGAATATCTGAGGAAACATCTAAGACATAAATTTTTTTTTTCGTTTTTATAACTTGACGAAATTCGGTGTTGAATCCTTATATCCACGAAAATAGGTTACACCACTGTACTTAAATCAAAATATGGCTTCTTAGACTATGAGGCCTAATTTACCTTACCAATTCGTTTTCAAGATTTTGAGGTATGATATTTTGTACTGTGAATGTTGGTAATGATCCAATCAGAAGTTTCTTTGGATAAGATAGACTTGTCAATGCTCTCGTGCATCGTCGACAAATAAAACTCTTTCCAATGTTTACAAACAAATTTTTTATGGGGGCTGACATCTTGGATTTTTAAAGCAGGGTCAGCCACCAAATTGTTAACTTGCAAACTTCGATAAATCTACTGTATGACTTTACTGTTCATTCAAACTGTATTTATGATAAAAATTTTCCAAAATGTTGCATTTAACTCCTAATGAATTCGAAATCCAGTTTTTACGAAACTAATGTATATTTCGAAGGGAACTAACTCTAGCATTACATTTTTTTTTGCCGGCTGCGAGGTACAGCTGTGTGTTTTGTGAATATCTAAAATGTATTTTACCGTATTGTTGGCTCTGTTTTTGGTGGCATTACCAATAAATTATGCTGAAGAGGAAGATATCAGAATAGGTAATGTATTTTATTTCTAAAATAGTGCATAAGTCATGGGAGCATTAGATCTAGTCTGGACCTATCTTCATTCTTCTTCCAAGTTCTTGCTTACAAATAGGTCCTATTATTTATTACAAGTTACACTAACTTACTAAGTTACATCAGAAACAGTTGCATCAGAAATTGTATTTTTTTATATGATTCTTCTCTGGATCCAACATTGAAAAGCAAGACTGGAATCAATCCAGAGGTTTTTTTTTCCACGTAACTTGAAGGGTTCAATGTCTACAATAACAATGGCAATTGCTTTCTTTCTGACCCTTTTCTAGTGAATATCCCATAGAAATCATCTGTCTGAGCTTGGAGATAGGCTCTGACTAGTCAGGTGGTTTTAAGTCTCTTAATTTACTAACATGTTTATTTGCTAATGCTTCTGAAATTTATCAGAGACTGGCAAGTGTTGACTATCATTCCTTTTGTCTTAACTAAAATCTTTTATTCTTTTACGATTACAGGAATAATTGGAGGTGGTATTGGTGGAACCTCAACAGCCTATTATCTAAAATCATTATTTGGTGATGGTTGCCATATTGATCTATTTGAAAGTGAGAGAGTTGGTGGGAGACTAGCTAATATTAATATTGATGGCTATGATTATGAAGCAGGTGGATCCATTATTCATCCTAAAAATAAATACATGGTGGAGTTTGCTGAAAAGTTTGGTAAGATTTGATGTAAATTCCACAACACGTGATCAATATCACATATGCTTTGTAGTAAAAATTTAAAAATTAGCTTTAAATATATCTGCATTTCGCCAGGCAATGTTAGTCATCATCTTAATAACTTACAAGACTGTGTGTCACAGTTTTTCTCATATTCCTTTAGCAATGTATAATCACATCTAACAGTTACTTTCACGCAAATTTTTGTCATTAATTTTGATTGGTAGAAAATTTACTTCTTGACCAATTAGATTCCTTCAAATAAATTTTGTTGAGAATGTTGAATAACCAAGATTGACATTATCATATTAACTTCCTGATAATTGAGCCTCAGATGTGTTAATGTCAAAATGGCCGATCAAAAGTGCCAACAGCTATTCTGAAAATTCACACAGATAGCTTAAATTTAGACTTTTCCAGTTTAGAATGCTTTTCAAAAATTCAATGAATAAACAACATAGTCATTTATATGAGTACTTCCTTTTAAAAATGATCCATTTTCTGTTGCAGGATTCAAGCAAAGTGCCTCTTTGGATGGTAAAATGGCATTGTATGGTCCTTCAGGAATAATTCTAGAAACTAGTTCTTGGAATTTTGTTACTATGGCCAAATTCTTTTGGAGATATGGCATGGATATTTGGAATATAGGAAGCTTCCTAAAGGAAAATTTTCTTGATAAATTTGGAAAGTAAGTAAATAGTTTGGTCTGACATGCATGATTACAATCATACCTACTGCGACCATTCTCGCTACATCTGACAACAACCTCTATTGCAGCTGGCGGATAAATCAGACTTCATCCAAGTATTAGGTCATGTGACAATAAATTTATGTCATGTAACTAACATCTGAAGAACTATATTACACGGATGTAACTTCAATTAAAGAAGATTTTCTTCCATCTGCTTTAGAAGTTATTGTCAGGCGTAGGGAAAATGACCGCTGTAGATACGATTGCCATGATTAGCCAGAAAATTTTAGAGTTTACACAAGTGATTGTTATCCTGAAACTTGATTTTATCGTTTTTAGAACTGTTGGATATTTGCACAATTGTGTAGTATATGATAAATCAAATTTTTTAAATGATTTATAGCAATAAATGTTTTGACGGTTTTCTTGAGATTTCATGTTATGATAAATCTCTCTCCTTCCTTATTTTGTTTGTCCTTTTTATGTTTTTAGAATTTATGATATTCAAGAAGAAGGTTTAGCTTTTACAACAGTGGAAGATTTGTTAAAATCTATGGATGAGTCCTTAGTTAACTATACCAAGATATCAATTCAAGATCTGATGATTGAGAAGGGATTCTCAGAACGATTTATTAATGAGCTAGTCATGGGGGCTTTGAGGACTAATTATGGTCAGACTACGAATGTACATGCATTTGTTGGTAAGTGTTCATTTTTCTGTTATATGGTATATGATGATGGAACAGAAAAGCTGGTTTGTTTATTCTGTTATTGGAATAGAAAAAACTTTTCTGTCATAAGAACAAAAAAATACTTTTCATTCATAAAAAGAAAAAGACTGTAAGGAAAGCTGTAATCAGAAGAACAGAAAGAGTCTTAAGTCAAGAGAACAGAAAAGAGTCTTTAATAAAGAGAACAGAAAAGAGTCTTTAATAAAGAGAACAGAAAAGAGTCTTTAATAAAGAGAACAGAAAAAGAGTTTTTAGTCAAAAGAACAGAAAAGAGTCTATATTCAAGAGAACAGAAAAGAGGCTTAAGAGAAAAGAACAGAAAAAAGTCTTTAATCAAAAGAACAAAAAAGAGTCTTAATTCAAAAGAACAGAAAGAGTCAAGAGAACAGAATAGGGCTTTAGTCAAGAGAACAGAAATTAGTACAGAAAGGAAACTTAAGTCAAGAGAACACAAAGAAAATAGAAAAGAAAATGGGAAAGACTTTTTAGTCTTCGAAACAGGAAAAAACTTGTCAGTCTTCAGAACAGAAAATAACTGAACTGGTCAGTATTCAGAACAGAAAAAACATTTTAGCCTTGAAAACAAAGAAAGAAATACTTTATTATTAGAAGAATGAAAAGACAATTCATAAAGTCAAAAAGTCTAGAGAACAGAAAAGACTATTTGTTTTTAGAACAGAAAAAAAGAGAAAAGACTTTACAGTTCGAAGAATGAAAATGATTCTTTCATCAGAAGGACATCAAAGAAGGAAAAAGGTACTTTGTTTGTACACATTGCTCGGATGGGATGAACATGAATTGGGTGTTTAATCTGAAAATCTTTGAAGGAATCTTTCTCCATATATTTTGGGGGTGTAAATGGCAATTATCTCATGTCATTATTGGTATAGATTGTATAAAATATGGCACACAGAGCTTTGTAGTAAAATTGGTTTGATCATGATGAAATTAAACATCAATTAACAGTATTGATTTTGTATTTCAGGTGCTGTCAGTTTAGCTGGAGTGGAAAAGGGATTATGGTCAGTGAAGGGAGGCAACTATCAAATTCCAGAACGACTTCTGAAGAAATCAGGAGCTAATTTAATCAAGGCAAAAGTTACTCATGTTATTTTACAAAAAGAGAGTGAAAGTGTGTCATATGAAGTTCAATATCAAAATGCAGAAGATGGAAAATCCAACAGTCGTGAATATGACATTGTAATTGTTGCCACACCTTTGAAAGAACTTGAAGATCATATCAAATTTGAAGATTTTCCTAATCCAATTCCATCTTCGTATACAGACTTTCATAGAACAATAGCCTTATTTGTCCAGGGTACCCCTAATTATACAGCTTACGGTTTTGAGAATGCTGAAAATTTTCCCCAATCCATTTTAACTACAGATGAAAATATCTTTTGGAATTCCTATGGACAGCATACCCCAGTGTCCCAGAAAAAACATTTAAATAAAAATTCAGACAAAGATGGTGACCAGGAGGACAACACAGTTTCAAAAATATTTTTAAACAAAGTCCCTACAGAGGATCAAGTGCACTATTTATTTAAAAGTAGAAAGGATTTAAGACTTGTGAATTGGTTGGCTTATCCTGAATATGCTCCTAAAATGGATTTACCTCCCTTTGTACTTTATGATCAATTATACTACGTGAACGCTATAGAGTCTGCTGCCTCTGCTATGGAGATGAGTGTTATAGGAGGTAGAAATGTAGCTAATTTAGCTTATAATCACTGGAATAATATTTTAGATAAAGTGGATGAATTTAGTATTAAAAAAGACTCTAAATCAGATAAAAGTGAATTATAACAGTAGGCCTGATGAGGAATGAATGTTGATTTCTGTATGGATGATTGTTCTGTATTTGTTGTGTTATTGGTAAATCCTAGCTCAATGTATTGTATAAGCTTATCCTCATATAATAATGTAAACCTATATTGTTGTTAACCTTGCTGTCTATTTTTTCAAGTATCTTTATGAACATGATTGTCATCAGTTTTGATGATTTAAAGGGATGCTTTCGCAAATTTTAGGCCAATCATACTGTAGTTAAACAGGAATTTTTTAGCTTAGCTAATCGGTAATAGTGTTCATAGCTCACCGTCGAAATTTGGGTCTTCAAAGCCGTGTGTGTCTAGAATTATCTGCATTTGAAAGTTGAAATGACCACTCATTTTTTCTTGAGACTAGAAATAGAAAGTGAAATTCCTAGTTTGAGATATTTGATGATGATTTTGGTACATAACAAGTTAGATATATACGAAGGTATGGACTGCTCTTTACTGTTGACTATGTACTAATGTATAGTGTTTGTTCTGTTGTTATGTTTTGATGAGATATAAGAGAATAAAATGTAAAGTGAAATATGATATTGCTATTATTGTGTAATTGTTGGTCCGTACTGGACTGGACGTGATCCACTTTCTTTTACAATAGCATTAGCTATCCTTTCAATCTGAAACTCAAACATGTTAAGTTCTGTAAATTATTTTGATGTAAATATTTGTCTAGACGTTTTGAAATCAGATTAAAATATGTTCAATGAACAAACCCTTGTCTGTATTTGTCACACCTTCTTCTAATTACTATTCAATGATTTCTCAAATCCAATGACTTTAGGGCAGAAACATAGAAACAGAAAACAATATTGATTTTGGCATTATCATTAAAGTATTTTTTTTGTACAAAAATCTCAGACGAACAAAACAATCTTATTATCACAAAGTCAGAATTATCCATAAGAATCCTAAAATCTGTCTAAGACAGAAACTTAAACGATCGACAACCGAAACTTTGAAATCCAGCAATCCACAGAAACATTGGCATCTAGATACCAAATCCAAGAACACCCAATATTATAGAAACTTCTGCATAGACCATACATTTTATCACTCAGTCCTCAAGATATAAAAAGTGGCATTCTGTAAAAACAGAAAACAGATGTTTCACAACGCACAGATAATATTGCAAATCTACAAACATCATGAACAGTAAGTACAAATGAATAGGAGAAACCCTGTGGCAGTTACAGGATATTATTTTTTCTGTTAAAATTTTGTATTTCTTATTGAGATCCAATTGCTCTAAATCTATTTTATTTTTTCATTTATTGGTTTAAATTGTGGTACCGGTAATCTAAAATATCGTGGGATAATAATCGTACCGTTGCTAAAGGAACATGGGTGTTATGTAAAATCATATAGAGTATAAGAAAGGCATCGATATTGTTGTTCCCTGAATTCATATATATATAATCTCAAAAAGTGTTTACTTTAGTTGTTGCACTTTATAGTTTCGTGAATAACAAAATATGAAAAAAAAAATGGAAAAAGGCATATTGTAGATTATTCAATATGAATGAAATCGGTCTAGTTTAAATCCGCACTAACTTAATCGTGTTTGGATTCTATTTGAAGTTATTTGAACTGTATGTCATCGTATTGTCGACTTGTTATAAATTAGTTTGTTTATTAAAGAAATCCATTATCAAGGAATCATTCTTGACACATCGTTTATCTCATTAAATAAGCAGCATGATAAATTGTTACTCCTTCTATTTTGCACCTCTTTTGTTAATAACCATGTAGGTTTATTTTTGACGACAGATCGTTGTGTTGTAGGCACCAAGATCGGATATCGTTGAGATAAAGTAAAAATTTGAATAACAGTTTTTCGGGCGACCAGTGTGCTGTTTATTTTTACCAAATAATTGTGTAACCGATGACACAAGTAAAAGTCCTTCGAACGAAACCAATTTCTAAATATAATACTTGTACATTATTCCCAAATATTATGCCCGGTTCTGTGTGTAAAACGAAAGATTTTTTTTTAGCCAAACTTCATGAATATTGCTTGAAAATTTAAGGAGATATAGCATTTCTTTAGCCACACATGAAAAACATAGCTTATCTTCGCCACCCAAGTCCGTCGGTCTGTAATTGCTTGTAAACATCCTAGAAGTCATCATTCTCGACGAAATTTTGACGGAACTGTGCAGATCTTCTGTCATCTACATTGATCATAGCAACGCATACAAATAATGGATTTTGTGCATGTATTTTAAGAACTGCCTTATCAGTGAATGATGACACTTACACCGAAGATATAGCTCATTGTGTAACCTCCAAAAAGAAAGGAACTAGTCTATGAAGATGGTGCTGAAGAACTGTCCAAAATCTCTCTTGACCTTCCCATCCGGACAAGCTTTTCAGTTTGCTCAGGCCATTTGCACCCAGTAACATAATCTTCATTGCCCAAAGAAAATATCTACTTTACTTTAAGAATACAATAATTTGACATGTAAAGAAAAGATGCAAATAATTAAGCGCCCACAACCTCCGAGAAATGTTCTTTTACGAACGGTAATTCAAATTTTCTACTTGAAACACCCACAGATATTTCCTTATAGAAACATAATAATTTCCTAATCGAATGATTTCACCAATTACGTGAAATACATAATTTTAATATATTGCTATAAACATAACTCATGTGGAATAGTCAATAACTCTTCGCTGCTTTCTGTTCACGACGACATAACAAAGTTAACAGTCCATGGCAATCAACTTTAAATGAAAAACGTGTAAAGTTTACATCAAGTATGTCGGAAATTTGTCAGACATTGGGTAGTACTATCTAGATAAATCTGATTTGATTCTTATTATATAAACAATTAGACTTGCTTGGAGAATCTAATTATACTAGACTTCTTGGTGTTTCATCGAAACTTTTTACAGTTTTCACTGACCGTTATTACAATTGGCTTTGTACATTGTCATACGAAATTAAGTATGATTTTTCTGTAAATCTGGACAATTATAGCATCTTTTTGCAACATTTCCATTACCGCCGTCTGTGATTCCTGTTTTTCCACTTTTAGTATAGATATAGGTTTGTTTTCCTTAAATATAAAGAGTTATTGTAAATGAGCAATATTTTACCACTTGACTGAAAATTCTTTGTTAATGGAAAGAACTTACTCTCTTGTGGTTGTTTTTTGAAACTATGACCTGGAAAATGGATTAAAATAATCTAAAAATGGATGAAAAATTAAATGTAGAGTGCACCAGACTGTTATGGTGAACTTAATCGTTTCATTTTGCGAAAGCGCTTGTCAAATCTACTTTCAGCTGGAAGTTCACATGCATTACCATCCTTTTCATTGAAATGTGTTTTTTTTATACTATCTTTCCATCTCTCCCACGTCTGTAATGAGAATATGGTTAATAAATGAAACGACTATTATCAATCGGCAAGTATTTGCGAGAATTAGTAGCTAAGTCCATATACGGTCATTACTGATCATTAACTGACCGGAGTGAGACAGGTCAATTATTGACCATCGTTACTAATCGGCCAACCCAAATTAAAGACGTTATAAATGGCCTGAAACGAATGTCCTTAATCTTCAACCTGTTTTATCGTACTTTGCAGGATTTCATCATGTTTTCGACAATTCATCCTACGGAATTTTATTTCTATTAAAAGTATATTTATTATTACATTATTTGACTTAAATGGATATTTTCAATCCATAGATCTTAATTTTAATTGGAACAAATTGACAGAAGTAATTGGTCTGAAGAGATATCAGTAAATTGGTAATGATTTTAAGACATCCTTACATGGCAAACAGACCGATTTTATCGATTTCTGATTTTAAATGCCATTAACGTACCCAGGAAATGGGTGGGGGTACTTCAATGAGCTGTTGTCAGCCAAACCGCAAATCAAAAGCCTCATTAATATGGATTGAATACATTAGTCCCAACTTTTCTTCGATGTTCTATTCTTATACCTACAATAGTCTTTTGGCAACTTAATATCGATTAGAATTTTTATGAATAATATATTTTTTTAAAAGCATTGTAAAGGTACATATTTTACTAAGAACAACAACCAACCGGTTTTCGTGTAAAGTCTGCTTCAGTTTACTCTCTGAAAATCATTGGGCCCCTCAGACCTGTGAAGTAAAAACTAAGACCCATAGGTCCAATGCTCCAAATTCGTCCAAGGCCATCTGAAATCCTCTGACTTCAAGGGGATTTCTAGCAGCGCCCAGACCGTCTGTCGAGGGGTTTTGGTTGCTCGGGCCTCGCCTTGGAGAGAGTCCTCTCAAAACTCCAGGGGCTTTGGTTATTCGGGCCTAGCCTAGAAGAGAGTCCTCTAATTTGTCCCCCCTCCTTTCAGGGGCTAGATAGGCCTCTGTATATTTTGTCTAAACTTACAAAACAAGTTATCTAAATGCGATTACTGGTTTTGTGGTCCTATTTCATACAATTATGGTGGCAATAAAACCTTGTCTGTTGTGAGTTTCTTTGTGTCCCTAACCCATTGGTAAAGGTCTTGTTACTCTTTACATGAAAATTAGTTAAACAAAGCCAATAAATATATACATCAAATGAAATTACTTGGAAGAATTCAAATAGAGGAAAGATTTTTTTTTATTAACAAAATTCAAACACCCATATTTCGTCTACCTTTTGAGAAAAACTGAAACAAAATTACATCAAGATCAATTGGAGCAATAGAGTTAAAAGGAATTTCACATTAAACAACAGAGGCCGACTATTGTACAGAACATTTGGAACTATGTGCAGCATGCAGACTGCGGAGCTACGTATGGTTCTTACATGGCTGATTTTGGTAAATAAGTCAGGGGCGAAGTTTCGTATGTATGTAAAGATGATGTTTGTGTATGTTTGGTAACGATACAGTACTTATTTGAATTGTTTATACTTTGTGAATAGGTAGATTGAATGACAATAATCACCATCGTATAATTGCTATCTTTTCTACCTCAAGACAAAATAGACTGGTCTTGTTTATTTAAAAAAATCGTCCCCGGATGTGCACAAATACCCCACCCAAATGGACTGATCTTGTTGCTGATATGTAACATCCACGAATATTCATGAATATCTTTGTCCTAAATACACTCAAGAAATGAACGCATGTTAAAAATATGAACCTTGAATACTATTCTGGTTTGTACAGTTTCTATTACTATCTTTTCTACCGAAAAACACACCAGACTGCCTTTTGAACATCTTCTGATATTCGCAAATATCTTGAACTGACTTGAAGAAACATATCTGCATTGTTTTATTCTTATCACAATGGCTTCTGAATCGCATTTTACGTATCGTTACGAATCCAAAGTTACTTAGAGCCTTCGACATTCTTCAAGTTGATGAAATATAAATTACAATCGTTGAAAAAAAATCCCAAAGACATTCCAATGGCGGTCAGAGAATGGCACAAGCTTCCATAACGTTATCAATGCTCACATGTTGATATTGAGCTCTAGAAGTTGGAATGGCTACATTTGTATCCCTCCAATTCAAGCCATCAGATTCCCTTTCACTTTTACGTTCTTCAACTTTTACTTACAACTTTTTACTATTGTCTGAATTTTTTTTTGTCCCAATCGAGCATAAAAAATAAGTGATAAGAATAAGTACAAAAAATCCAATAACATTTCTATCGTAGCGTCTATAAATGCACTCGATTCATCGGTTATAAGAACAAGATGGTTAGATGATGTTTTA